ATCCCAGCGTCGAAACGGCGAACTTTTGGAAAAAAATTTCATTTTTCCTTAATTACTCCTAAACCGTTGAATCTACGGGGAAATTGTATAGGACCTTTCTTGTAGAGGTCGACGAGATCTACAATTTCTGTATAAAAGTTTGTCGCTAGCATTAATATTTGACGAGTTATGAGCGAAAAACGAAAAAACAGTTCTTTGCAAATTACTCGTTAACTATTGACGTTAGCAAAAAACTTTTACATGAAAATTGTAGATCTCGTCGTCCTCTATAAGAAAGGTCATATGCAATTTTCCCGTAGATTCAACGGTTTAGGAGTTATTGGCCAAAAACGAAAATTTGGAAGAAATTAAAGGGGTACCCCTTGGAAAAATCTCGGGAAAATCGAAAATTCTTTTTGTTGTTTATTATTAGCAATGTTCTTCCGACGTCTGATCTCTCTTTAAAAAATGCGTTTCTAAAGTGCATAAACTTTTGGGATTCACTGTATAGCCAATACATCCTTAAAAGAGTCTCGCTGTGAAATGAATTTAGCATCAACATGTATTCAAGATCTGATATCTTCTCAGTCGGCTATCTATCCCAGAACTGATTATTACTATCGTTTAACTATACATATAAGGAAGAGTGTTAAAAATTACAAAATGTTGTTGTTGTTGTTCATCATACCTCTAACGTTGACAGAGCGAACATACTGACATAATGATTGTTAGTAGAAGATAAAAAATGTAAGCAAGGTCGCCATGAATCGATTTGCTGAGCAAATTCTTGAAAACTCTGTTCAATCGTTCGCTTTCGTTCATTCGTGGTTTCTGGTACGAAAAACTCTGTCATCAAACGTTCCAAATTCTGTAGTGCAGCCGCATCGTTATCCTGAAAAATTAATTGAACGACGAAGAATTATGTACACTTGTTTACCTGTTTCGTCACAACAAACGTTGTTTGTTGTTTTGTTGTTGTGTTACGAACAGTTTCATCAACGTAAATTTTATATATTTATACATGTACACAAAAAATTACTTAACCGTTCAAAACATAGATACGTCTATATCTAATTTATAGTTAGATAACTATATACATGAATCATACATGTAATTTATAGTTATCTACCTACATATACGAATGTAATCACAAATACGGAACGAACGATAATTATTTTGACGTACCATGATATCTACAGTCAAGCAGCGTCTATTGCGCTGTAAATGCGATTTATAAATACACAAACCAGAGGAGGTTAGATTTTTAGTTTTCAAACGTCACATTTAAACTATACCATACTACCAGAGACAGAGAGGAAATGAGAGTGCTGCTTACGGGTTTTGCGTGCCCCCCTTTTAGTGCTGCCCCCAGGTTTTGCTTGCAGCACTAGTAGGGTGAACACGCAAAATTCGTGCGTGAGCACTCTCATTAGTCTCATTTCCTCTCTGCTCACCTTGCTACTCGCAGTTACCAACACCACAGCTGCGCAGAGTTCCGGAAGGTAGGGATAAAGGAAGGGGAAATGATTTAAAAATGTTTTTGGTCGTGGTATGTTTTAGGTATACTTTAAAAAACTGGTACGAAATCCCTGCTTGAGGTCAGTGTCAGTATCTCTTTCGTGTTTTCATTCATTTTTACGAACAGAGAAGAGACTCGAATCAAAATGCCGTACGAGAAAGAAATTTCTAGTAAGCTGTTCGACATACAAGAACGGATACCCGGATTTGCGATTGGTAAATGAAAATTACTTCTTCGCTTTTAATAAATACAGTAGAGACAGGTCCGATTGTCCGGTCACACGTTTGTTGATACAAAAGCAATTAACCAGAAGAAAACTTATTGATCTGGTCGTATATTTAGTGTACGATACACAATGATCGTAATAAAAGATGACATTGAGAAATAGGTGATATTTATTGTAGAAATCGTACTGAAACACCAGCCGTATATTTGCTTGTAGACGACTCTCGTACAATAACATAATTAATGTTGATAACTTTCTCACTGTACATATTAACGTGTAAATCCGTAAGAAAATTTATATAGCTCGATTTTTGTAGTGTAGTAATACGTATTTGCCTATGTCTACATGTATACGTAATATATTCATATGTGTTTACGTTTAGTAATTGTACCAAAGACTGATTTTTGCACCCATACAACGTAATCCCATTTAAAAAATGTCGCATATACACATTACTATGTACAGCAAAATCTACGAACGTACTACGTACAGTCGATTGATTAAAAGAAGAAAAAAAAAACAGGGAAATGATGCACGCACCCATTAATAAGAAAATAATTGCAAATAAAAAATTTGTTCGAAACGAATTTCTTCAACGACGAATAAATATGTTACATATACGTACGAATCTGTATACGTATACATGTCACATAAATAAATCGAGTAAAACGAACTTCTAACAAAACGGCACGCAATAAATTTGTACGTAGAAAAATATATTAATGTACATATCGTTGAATTTATTTGCCACTGGTAAGATTAGTTACGCGCGTACGCGCGCACGTGTACGTGGGTGTGTATGGAATGTGTCTACTTTGAATATTTTTTATTCCGCGTATGCAATAAATTAATTTTGGATGCTATCGGCGAGCCAGCGGCCGCCACCACATCACCACCACTTTTCTGTGCACTTCCTTTCCTTTTTTTTTTTCTTCTGTTCGTTGCACTTCAGACCACGAGAAGAGAGCAGCTCTATGCTTTCGAGAGTCGCTAATGATCTGCTCGAAAGATGAATCTACGACGGGAGCTGGGAAGCCGATAGGCTGTTATTGCATTTTAGTGGAATCGCTCGGTCCCGAGGAGCGCGAGTTCTTTGTTCACGTACAATCCTCGATGTCGATTGACGGTCATTTCGGTGGGTCGAAGGTCATCAGCTCGGCGACTGCAAAGTTCCACTGCCTGGAAGAAAAAAGAACCGAGTACGTTACGCACTATACAGACACACACACACACACACATACACAGTCTTTTCCGTTCTAAGTAATATTGATTGATTGTTGTGCAACGATAGATTTGTGTACGAGGATGGTCTTCACGAGAAAACAATTTTCCTGGGTATCCAGGATGGATATTACCATTTGAAATTAACACGCTCTTGTCCCTGCGACCCGTGCGACACTGAAATCAAGGAGTTGTCATTCCGATATAGCAACAACCTGATAAGCGAGGGAGTAAATGTATTGTTGATGCGATACTTGGCACTTGTGGATTACGAAGGAACCTTGTCGTTCAGTAGTATTTCTATCGATGGAGAACTTATGGAAAATATTTACGTAAGAGCAGTAGAGAAGCAACCGGTGGTCTGGTATAAAACTCTGTGTGTGTGAGAGTGAATAAGTTTATCAGCTCCTGTTATTCGACGACGAAACAGACGTGTAGTAGTGCTGAACGCATGGAGCTGGACGGTCACTTCCTGAACGTTTACACGATCGAACGTAAAATGCTGAAGGAAGATGGAAACGTAAATACTGTGAGGACTTATTTAACACAAAAAGGAAGAATAATCCGGCATAATTGGCTAGATGTATCGTATCTACTGAAAATTAATCCGCTGGCCGATCCGAAGAGTCCGCCGCCACCAACCATCAAAATAGAGATGCCATTGAGAGATCGCTGGATGGAAGATATTGAAATGTTTTCCAAATACTTGGATATGAAAGTGAGAGAGGGTGCCTGGGAGGGAACTGTAGTCGTCATGGGAATTCGGATCGTTAAATGTTTCATGTGATCATCGTTGTCGTCGTGGATAGTCGTTGAAGATAGCCGAGCACACGGAATACCTAACTGATCATCCGGAAGTTAAGCGAATGATCGCGGATTATGTCCAAACGCTGCTAGTTGGTAATCAGTCGACCGACTATAGAAACATTGTACCGATTCTTCTTAAACAGGTTACGCCTGCATTTTAATATCGGGTCGTTTCACAAACTGTACCACCACTGGCCTCTACTATATTTGTAAATTATAACTTTCTATAAGCGAAGACGAAACTTGCGCACTTTGCTTCTCGATAGAATTGAAAGTTACGATGTAAGAGGTATTAGCTGCTACCAATTTTGAAACGACCTGATGATAGATGCCTGATACACAGCGTCGATATTCGTTCGTAATCGCGCGACACTGGCCTCCACAGTGAAACCCGAGAACGTGATAGACTTCACGATACAGCATTTCAAAGCGTTCGCTAGGGATCCAGTCGCCTGGGAGACCAGTGCGTTGAAAGAGGATTCTGACGCCGATCTAACGTCACAGCTGGCGGAGAAGAGATCCGAAGTGGTGGTGTGCGGCATATGCGGATTCTGCCTGGACTACAGCGCGATGGAGAACGTCTCTTCGATGTCTTTCATGGAACAAGATTATGACGACGACAACGACGACGATACGGTAAGCGCGTGTCGTCGCACAAAAATGATCAACTATGGAACGCTGAACGAAAGAGCGAACAATTCCTTTTGTTTTCTTTTCAGAGTCTATTAAATGTCGTTGAATCGTTGAAATCTGTATGCTCCGGAGACTCCGGCAAAGAAGTGGCGGCGATTGATGGTCGAGAATCAAGTTCGTCGAATGTCGCGGAAGGTGTTTCGAAATTGAAAAGAACTTGTGATCAATGCCAAGCTATTATAAAATTCTACGACAAGCACAAAGTAAATGTTCTGTTCATCGCGTTTAGAATGAAATTCTCTATTACATCGTTATGATTTGACGACATGAACCAGTGTGTGACACGCGAAACGTTTGAATTCTAAAAACTTGTGGATAACGAGAGAGCGTGATGAGTCGCAACGACATGACACACTTCCGTTTAATTTTCAGTCTCACTCCAAGTGTCCCGGTTGCTTGAAAATATCACGGACGTGTATGAAGTGTACCACCGTCGATGAAATCTTGAAAAGATTGAAACAGTAAATTATGCGCGGCCGCGATCGCAGAAAACGTTTGTCTCGACGATTTCGAATCTGTTACCTTTATCATTTCCTGCCGCCATCACCACCACCACCACCAAGAGACGTATCCTTCTGAGAATTACATATAACGCAATTTTCCTGAAAAAAATATAAGAGAAATAAATAAATAATTTTCCACTACATGTGCAGGCTTCGTAACGGTTTTTAAATTATTTAGAACCACCACTATATACTGACCACAACTTCGAAGTTTGGTAAACAATCTTCGTGAAACGAATGTTTGCAATAAAATACAACTAGATTTCTTGGCTCTGTAACGAGAGATACAATATAATGTGATTAAAGACGCGTACAAAACACAATGTATCCATCATAGATCCGTTTCACAAACCGTTTTTGTGAACGAAACTTTCTGATAGTCTCTCTAAAATGGATTTGTCACATGCTTCTCGAATATAATTTCTGCAAACGTTTCTACGAAACGGATGATAAACGGATGTAAAACGCGTGAAATATGCCCGGATACTGATTGACTGAATAATCTAATAGTACTGTGTAACGTACGTACCTCGTACAATTATCTTCCTATGGCATGCTCCACACATTTGGTCGTCTAAGAAACAGAAGATAATTATACTGCGTTACAGTTATCATCATCATCATCATCTAAAATCTGCATCATTTAATACAACCAATGTGTTGTTGTCCACCAACCGTCTATAAATATTCCTTTCTGATGACATTTAATGAGTCTTTCTTGTAAATTAAAATAATCATTGGACAGTATCTTCTTACAACCTTTCTGCACCGACACTTGAAGATTGTAATCGCACATCATTTTCACCAAAGCTTTCTTCAAACCAGGTATTTCTAAAGATGGATCTATACTTTGTATCATGAGTCTAGGATCAACGTAGGTGCCTATTTTCTGCAGTAAAAACGTGATCGCCTCTGTAAAAGAGTCAGGGTTCAGTCAGAATTAACGTACGATATTTCTTTTATTCTCTCTCTCTCGCTGTCTCGTAGTCGTGTCTTACTCTCTCGATCTTTTATAGACACAAAAACACACACAGGACCACGGAAGAACCTGTTCGTACGCGCGCGCGTCAGATTGATAAAAGATTTGTGTGTCTATACTTACTAGGTTTGTCCAACGAATAAACGATAAGGTCGTTCCACAATTCCTCGTCGTCGTGTTCTTGGCAGAACGCGATCGCGCTTTCCATGTCGTTCAGTTCCCTGGTCATGAGCGCCAAAGCTTCAGACGTGTTTCCGATTCTGCCAAGCAGATACACCATTTCTGGGAAGAACTTTCGCTGACTACATATGTCTAGGGCCTCTTGTATCGGATAATTATCCGATCGGCGTAGAAGCGGTAACAATTTGTCTCGTGAGTAATCGGCATAAAGTCGGACCAGCGACCCGTGATATTTCCCCTTCGAGTCTTTCTTGTCCAACGCGTCCAAATACTGTGATGTAAAATCTTACGTCAAACAAACAATTTTACAGCGGAGACGCATAACCGCATAACAATGATATCTAGACCGAATCCGATCGGTTCGATCGTACTCGAATTCGTCTCATCGATGTGTCTTACCAAATATAAATATCGTTGATTACGTTGCAGTTCTTGTACAACGACATCGGACGGCACCCTGTCCTTCTCCAGAAAAAATTGTATCGCTCGTTCTGCGTCTAGATCCATCAGACCCTCTATCATGTCGTAAACGGTGTGGTACAATTGGTACTTTTGAATCAGTTGAAACACGTCTTTGTGCCTCAGCTTCAAGTACATCGCTAACGCTTTGTCGTATTTCCCGTCGTGAATGTACAAAATCGCTAACGCTTCCAACAACACCGTTCTATCCGGTTTCTGCTGCTGATTGTGAACCAGGAGATGTTCCAAGACGCCGTTCACGACGGCTGCGACTTTATACAATTTCGGCGACCATTCCTTGACCAGTTGCAGAAATCCGTCGGGATCCATTTTCAGATACTCGTAGAGAACCATCTCGTAAATCAATGGATCCAACGTTACATCGCCCCTCGGCAAGTAAGAAGAGATCGACCGCAATTGATGCACCCTGGCGAACTTGTATACCTACAACGTCCAACAACAACCAGCGACTCGGTTCAAAATTCAGATCAAGTCTGGTTAGCGATTAAAAAAACCACGGTTCTCAAACACTCACTTCTTCTTCCCATAATTTCCTGTCCTTCCCTAAGATTTTCAAGCACAATTTTCCTGCCTCATCGTACTTTTCACAAGTCAACAAATGATCTAAATATACGCGACCGACGTTCACCAATGTGTGTTTCTTACAGTCTTTGCCGTTGTTCACCGTCACTGCCTCCAACGCTTGTTCGAATTTTCCGTGCATCAATAACCACTCGATTCTATCATCCGCATCGTACAAACTGGCCACAACAACGTCCTTCGGGCTTACGATAAAGAATCTACACATACAGAGAGAGAAAGTGAGAGAGATAAGATGTAGGAAGAAATGTGCAGAACTTGAGGAATCGTTTCAAGCTCAAGGAATAAATTTTATCGTGACTGTCATTGACACGACTAAGTAGTACTAGAAGTACTAGTAGTACCTGTTCTCTTCTATCAAACAGTCTAAATGATAATCGTTACAACTATACTCTTTGTAACCACGTAACGTAAGAGAGTTCCCGCAGACAACAGAGAAATCTTGATACTTCGGTTCGACAACATGCAACGTCGGTCTCTGACTTTTCCCATTTTCGTCCGTCTCTTTCAAACAACCCAGTAACACCAATTGATTTTCCAGCGGTGCAATACCGGAAATGTAAAAGTCCACTTGAAACGTTGACACTGAAATAATTGAAATCGTTCATTCCGATCAATCGGTTTCAGATACGGTTTGTTCTTCACAGAATCAGCATGCACACACAGAACGTTGAATGGTCGCTGAAGAACAGATCGAACGAGCGGTGGGTGTAGTACAGACGGGACAGGACGGCAGGTAAGGTCACGTTACAGTAGAATTATATAATAATTCCGGATCGGAATGCTTCCTACCTGGGTCTACCACATACTCCGGCAGATCTCTGTTGACCATTTCTTGTATCGATCTTTTTCTAATTTGACAAACTCGTACCACGTCGACCCAACCGATTAGTAATGTTCTGTCGTCCGACCACCGAAGATTACATCTATAATGTTCTGGTAACGCACTGCGCACAAAAAACGTGTGACGTTGTACGATCAACAACTATTATTATTCAACGATTTCGACGATTCATATTCGTCGTCATCGATACTCACTCAGCGGACCTGGTCCATTTAATAAGACCTAACGAACATCTGGCGTTCAAATCGTACACCCTGACACCAGTGTCGGAAGCCCATGCCACGAAATGTCCAATCCATGCCACTGACCTTACCCCGCCCTCCGCTTCGCACAATACAGTTAGTTTCATTCTGGATAAAAAAGTTTTTTCATACAAAACCAATTTATCATCCCCTAGAAATAACGTTCCAAATCTTAGAAGCTATTCATCGAATCAACTATAAATATCAAAAACAGGAAAGCAAACATGGAAAAAGGTTATCATCGATTAGGCTGGATTTTTATGCAAAATATAATATTGGTGGTGGACGTGGTAGTGGTGGTGATGGTAGTATCATGAATTCGACGAACACACATTCACAAATCGACAACGGTCATCGTTCAAGCGTCTTCGTACGACGTGCACATAGCTTTTCGTTTCTTTTCACCACACATCATATACTATATATGCATAAAATCCGCGGCAGCAGTCCATTTATATAATTACCCGTGATAAATCTCCTTCCGCTGCCGCTCTTATAATAATTTGGATCTATAGCGATGCTCTTGACCAATCTACCCATGCTCATGTTATGATTGTTCTCTGTGCTGTAAAGACCATATATAAAAACCTTTCCATCGTCGCTGCAGGACGCGATGAAATCTCCTTTTTGGTCTATGGAAATCTGGTTCACAGCGACGGTGTGAGCTTGCAAACTTTTCGACTGGATATTGTTTCCCTGATGATCCAGAAGATGTATCATGCCCCAGTGCGAGCCTAAACATAGGAACTGAGCATGGGAAAGATGACGACTGATCGGCCTGTTACAGTAATAAAACAGTCGTTCGACCGTCAATTTCGATCAGTCATACCTTAGGGTGCACTGCTATGCAGCTAGCGGCATCGTTCTGCAATATGTGTTCCAAATCATTTCGCATCCTGACGTATTTAAGCCTGGGCTCTACCTCATCCACTTCCGAGTCTGAATCATCCTGATTATTCTGCTCTCCGTATAAACAACAAAATCAATATCGTGCAGTACGTAACAGCAGCAGCAACAGCAACATCGTATGGCTTTTCGTCGACGTACATACCTTGTGCAAAGTATTTTCCATGCCCGATATTCTCCACTTTTTTGTTAAATAAAAAGGGCGTTCCGAACGTAAAAGAATTTCCAACGACTACGGTCTGTCGCAAAACTCTTTCCCGCGACGACGCACGTTTCGATTATAATATTTATATATTACACTTCTCCTCGTCCGTACGTATTTTTGTTAGATTCTCTTCTCCTTCCTCTCGATTTGCGTTAAGTACTACGAGACGAACTGATCACCCAGCCAAATTCTGCTATAATTTCCTTGCAACAGATATACGATTTGGCTATGAGACGATCATGTTAACACCAGACGAATTCGTAAACATTAGCACGGTTCATTTTCATTCTCACATCGACGACGACGAAGAAAGGTTAACGTCATCAGTTAGCGTTGGGTCTTTGGTTTGGGGTTTGGGTTTGCTTCTGCTTCTGCTGGTGATGACTATATACATACGTACAACGTATATATATGTTATACATATTAGTCATATCAGATCAGATAGCAGCAAGCACAAAGGCAACCTACTCTATATGTATACATAATGTATTTACTGCGCCGTCGAAACCACACGTCTTTTTGTCGCATTTCTCTCTGACAGCTGTCGCATTCACTATTTCTTCCTACCAAGAGTTCCGACCGACACTCCAATTTATAATTTGTAGTAGAATAGAATTCAAAGTGACTGAACATTGCTCGAACGCACCCGTTTTCTGAGATTCTTATAAATAAATAATATAGCTCGAAATATTTAATATTAAAACGATAAAATAATTTTTATCCTTTTGTTCGATCGAAATAATGGTAACGGAACGGGGAGGGGGTGTCTATATGGGAAACAGATCTATTCTATAAACTATAAGTGCAAACAAAGTTTATTGTAATACAATTTATACTATGCAACCTTCCATCACCATAGGCTCCTGACTCATTGCAGTGCTTGCTTTAGTCTTCTGCTGTTGTTGTTGTTGTTGTTGTTGTTGTTGCTGCTGCTGCTGCTCGTTGAACATTAACGTATAATTGATCTGAAAGTATTTGTTAAGAATAGGAGTATACATTCGTCGAGGATTACAGTAGAAACAAGTGCCGCACGTTGCCGTTATAATAATGATCCCAAAGATGATGAGTCTGTTTGTACAAAAAGTTTTACAAAATTGTTATCGAATCGTGTATAATATTATAATAAAAGCGATGTTAAACGTACGTTAAGAATAAAATGTTAAAATCAGATTCATCGCAACAGAAATTGTCGCCACAACAGTATTGGTTTGAATCGCACAAGCCCCAAATGCAATACGGTAAACTCTGAAACCATTATAGAATGCGTATATATTATTACGTTACGTACATGTAACGTATAGTACGCGACGATTAAAATGTGAAATATTTGTTAATTACCATTGGGAGAGTAAAGATTAAAAACTATACTGGAATGATCGGAATTTTCTATTTACATCCTAACAATGGAAAGAAACGAATCTGTCAAAACATGAGCACGAATCATGAAATGTACTAGATCACTAATAAACCTTCTGCTGCGATACGGAAACCTTAGGTCTTGTTCATACATACAGGAAACAGCAGGGACTAGGGACTTAAGCAAATGCTTAAGGCGATCTTACATATATAACTAACGTCTTTGAATACCCGCCATTAATTGTTTGTTCATCAGTTTCGGTTGGTTTCGGTTGCACTTGCACACTACTCCATGTCCGTGCTTGCTGTCGATCCATTACACTTATTCGGGATTAATTCTTCGCACGTAAAAATTTTACAAGAATGGCAATGACTCCACGTGCAAAGCAAAGAATTGCAATTGTTTTAGAGGTGACCAAAGTCGTATTCCACTGGGGATTTATTCCAGCGATATTGTTCTTAGGTTAGAACACATTTTCCTCGATAATTATAAGTTACATGTGCTCGACTGATGCAATTTAGTTAGGACAAAATATTCTTCAACACGAATCGATCGTTGCTTGCTTTTATTTTGTAGGATTTAGAAAAGGTGCTGATCCTGGTATGCCTCAATTATCAATTATGAAGTAAGTCTCGATATGAATTTATCTCTTTCTTGTACAACAAAGAAAACCAATGTACTACGAGAATTCTTTTGTATTTCAGCTTGTTATGGCAATAAAAACCTAAAATCAGCTTCAATATCGTTTCAACATTTATTTTCCATGAAGATATTCCTGTTACTTGACCATAGCTATATTTTTATAGGCTAATCTAATCTATATTTGTTACATACATGTAGCTCTGTTGTATAATTGAAATTATTCATAAAGATGTTACTGCTGCAAAGTGGAATTAAATGAAATAAAACTTGTTTAATTCATATCTTCTAATGCGTATATATTATGAAATCAATGACAAAAGGAGTGCGATACTCGACTGTTTCCATCGTTGAGCAACACTTTTTAAAATTTTATTGAAGCGATGAGTGAGCCTATACCACAATAACCAAATCAAGGGGCGCGGTAGCGGCCCGAAGGCAAGTTTGAGTAGATACTACAAAACGTTTAAAAAATAAAAATATATCCTCAATTTTTATCGATCATGTATGACGAAACGCATATAGATATGCAACGAGCAGTTAAGAACTGAGAAGTGACTACAACTCCATCCTTAATATAATTTCCATGATCTTTGTAAAATCAATTCTTTGGGCCAACGATAATTTTCAACTAATAATTTTCAAACGTATGTGAGTTTACATACAGTCTGTGAAATCCTGTGATCGAGCACACGCGCGGGAACGAAATAGGAAATGTATGTAAAATAATATAAAGGCAGCCTATTTTGGCGACGGATCGTTTGGTTGGCAACACTGTTGCCTAACCTGTCGTCAGGAAGTAAAGTAACAGCAGATTGGAATTGGAACCGTAGTCAGTTTTGGGCACACACGGATACGACAATTTCGCTTCACGGTTTCACTCTGCTTGCCACCGTGTAAAGCACGGGATTAACAAGCTGAAGCGGTGTAAATTCCTCGTTAAAACGTATATGTGCAGAACGAAGAACCGCAGCAGCAGCAGCAGCAGTGATCGTTAAAGCTGGCCACCACGTTTTCACGAGAACTCCCTTGTCCAACACAACACTGCTGCCTGCGTTATGCGGTGGTAAACGCGTCGACAGGTGAGTGCGCGTTTTCTGTCTCACGATCACGATACTCACCAACCACCACACCACTCGTTCTACCAACGGGAACCAAAAGTATTCTCTCTCCACTGCACTCTTATGGCAACGGGCTGCGATGGTGTTATTTCTGTCGATTGCTTTTTGTGGATCCTCGAAAGTGTGAGCACTGATAGTAGTATCGTAGTAGGACGAAGATTCGTTATGTTCTGATTCTGAACGAATCCCGACGAAAGATCCGAGCTACAGCTAACGATGTGCCACATCCTGATGTAACCACATTGGTATGGATCCCCCGATTACCGTCGTCGCCGCCGTCGCCGCCGCTGCCGACTAACCTTTCTCACACAAACGATTTTTTTTCTTACGAATTTGTTCATCCGTTGCGCTTGCCATTGCCATTTACCATTTCGGCTTTTCATTAACATTCTCGAGCGCACGCACAAAGGTTCTCGTCGCAGTTTTATTTATAGTATTTCAAAAGTTTACCAACGAACGTTTCGTCAAGTACAAGGACAAAAGTGAATGTTTTCTAACATTAAATATCCTGAAGCATCAATATAAAGTTGTAGTAACGTAGACTATTATAAATTTTGACCATCAATTCGTTCATTGTTTTATTATTTCCCAAATACATTGTCCAAGTCATCGTCGTCGTTCTCACGACTTTGTCGTTGTTCAAATGTAGCTGTAACAATGCTTTCGATTTATTTCAACTAACGATCATTTGTATTTGTGTCAGTGTGTAAAAGCATTGGTCATTCCTTGACGCATTCATCTTGATTTCCTTGTGTTCAACTTTATCTCTGGTCCGTGTCGGATGGACTAAACGACTAAACAGCATTTACTTTTGTTCGTTCTTCGTCACAGAAATTGCAGTAGGAAGTAGTAACAGTGACCCTCACTAGAGACAAGCATACAAAAATAGAATGTCAGGGTATAGAGGAGGAGGAGGAGGTGGGGCTGGGAATCATCAAGGAGGCCCAGCGGGCCTCAAACAAATAGACTTAGACCAAATTTGGGGAGATCTGCGTGAGGGTATCGAACAAGTTTACAACAGACAATGTATGTCTAAGCCGAGATACATAGAGTTGTACACGTATCCTTTATTCTCTGAGATCAGAGTGAGAGAAAAGAAGAGTATGATCAAGGTGGTGATGTCCACGCAGGACGCTCCCATTGTGTTATTTTCCTTACATTACGTAATTTATTAGACATGTATATAATTATTGCACAAGTGTTCATCAACAATTAACTAGGACATCGACCAAAAGCAAAAAAGGACAAGTTTCTCAAGGAGGTGCACAGTTAGTTGGTTTGGAGTTGTATAAACGTTTACGCGATTTTCTTAGAAATTACCTTATTAGTTTATTAAAGGTAATCTCTTTATTTGTTTCTCATATTGTCGATACTCCTGTCGGCCTGGAGTACGAGAGAGTAGATTTTTGCTTGAATTTGTTATTTCTTTTCATACACAGCATGGAATTGACTTGATGGACGAGGACGTATTACAATTCTATACGAGACAATGGGAAGAGTATCAGTTTAGTAGTAAAGTGCTGAACGGCGTATGCTCGTATTTAAATCGACATTGGGTACGTAGAGAATGCGAAGAGGGTCGTAAAGGAATCTATGAAGTTTATCAATCGGCTTTGGTCACGTGGAAAGATCACTTGTTCAAACATTTAAATAGACAAGTAAGTGATAATCGAATTCGTTGAGTTAAAAATGTATTCGATGAAACGAATTAGGAATAATAATATTGTTAATGACGACGATGATGATAATGATAATAATAATAATGAACTTAAAACTATGGCACAGGTTACTAATGCAGTGCTTAAATTAATTGAGCGCGAACGCAACGGGGAAACGATAAATACACGTTTAGTCAGTGGTGTAATTAATTGTTATGTAGAATTAGGTTTGAATGAAGAAGATCCAGGTGCTAAAGGACAGAATCTTACCGTTTATAAAGAGTCCTTCGAAAATGTCTTCCTCGAAGATACCGAACGATTTTATACTCGAGAAAGTTCAGAGTTCCTCAGACAAAATCCGGTCACAGAATATATGAAAAAGGTTTTCGAGATTAAACAACTTTTTTTCCGAACGACACCCGTTTCACATTTGTACAAGATATAATAACAGGTGATCCTGTTCGTAGGCGGAGCAAAGGTTGCTGGAGGAACAGAAACGAGTTCAAGTGTATTTGCATCAGACAACGCATGAGAAATTAGCAAAGACTTGCGAGAGAGTGCTGATCGAGAAACATTTAGATATTTTTCATTCGGAATTTCAAAATCTTCTCGATGCTGACAAGAATGCGGACTTAGGTCGGATGTATCAACTAGTAGCAAAAATACCGAATGGTCTCGGAGAACTGAGAAACCTTTTGGAAGGTCACATAGCCAATCAAGGGCTTGGAGCTATCGACAAATGTGGTGACTCTGCAGCTAACGTACGTCTACCGATCCGCTCCTCTCATTCCGCTCCGATGAGAGGCGCCGATCGTCGCGCGTCGCGGTCGAACTGAATTTTTAAAGTACTTTTTCGTTTCTCGTTTCCGTGCAGGACCCAAAGGTTTACGTAAACACAATTTTGGAGGTTCATAAGAAATACAACGCGTTGGTACTCGTTGCATTTAATAACGACAGTGGTTTTGTGGCAGCTCTTGACAAGGCTTGCGGACGATTCATTAATAGTAATTCAGTAACGAGAGCAGCGAACAGCAGTAGTAAGTCACCGGAATTGTTGGCGAAATACTGTGATCTGTTGCTAAAGAAGAGTAGTAAAAATCCCGAAGAAGCAGAACTTGAAGATACGCTGAATCAAGTGGTGAGTAAGTGAGCGAGTGATGCCGGACAGATGTATTCTATTTATCGTTGATCATCGATCGTATTATTTTCTTCCCAGATGGTAGTGTTCAAATATATCGAGGACAAAGATGTGTTCCAGAAGTTCTACAGTAAAATGTTGGCGAAACGATTGGTACAACACATGTCGGCCAGCGACGATGCCGAAGCTTCCATGATCTCGAAATTGAAGCAGGCCTGTGGCTTTGAGTACACCTCCAAGTTGCAACGAATGTTTCAGGTACTGTCGTCGCGTCGTACCGCGAACTTCATTTTATATTACTCTCACCACGCGCAATCCCGCGATCTTTTTTTTATGCGTCGTGTGTTTCCGTAGACGAGTACTACTACACATTTACGTTCCGATTCGATATCCGAGTCGAAATCATGTAACATTATAATCGTAGCAGTGTGTCCGCAGGATATCGGTGTGTCTAAGGATCTGAATGAACAGTTTAGAAGACATTTGACAAACTCTACCGAGCCTCTGGATATAGATTTCAATATACAAGTGCTCTCTTCTGGCTCTTGGCCGTTTCAACAATCTTTTACTTTTTCATTGCCAACCGAGGTAGGAGGATCGCGTCACACAGTTCATAGTTCTCGTCCCGAATTAATATTCATACGTATACGTATGTAATTCCTTGCTCACTTGAAACATTTTCTGGTTATAGCTAGAAAGGTCTGTACACAGGTTCACCACGTTCTACAGTTCACAACACAGTGGAAGAAAGTTGAATTGGTTGTACAATATGTCTAAAGGGGAATTACATACTAATTGTTTTAAAAATAGGTAATGAATTTACGCGTTTAACACGTAAAATGTACACGCTCAGGGTCCGGGGCACAGGCGCCACAGATGTTCATAAGAGAAATCTCATTGTTTTATCACAGATACACGTTACAAGCATCCACCTTTCAAATGGCCGTTTTATTACAATACAATGGATCTACTGTGTGGACCGTACAACAGTTACATGATGCGACGCAGATAAAAATGGATTTCCTGCTTCAGGTAATGATATGCACAGCACGGCACAGGGGATAAAGGATGTTCGAACACGTTCCACGTAGGTTAGGTAGATGGTGGTAGTAGATAGCAGAAATTTCGACGTGTTACAGGTGATTCAAATACTCTTGAAAGCTAAACTATTGACAGCAGCAGCAGTGACCGACGACGAAACTGAACTGACATCGATGTCAACGGTGGAACTGTTCACAGGATATAAAAAGTATCCGCTTACCTTTTACGTACACGTTTCCGTATCCGTTCTCTGTTTCACTGAGATTCTGATCCTCTCCCGTTCTGTGCTATAGCAAAAAGCTGAGAGTGAACATCAATATACCAATGAAAACGGAATTGAAGATCGAACAAGAGACGACACAAAAGAACATAGAAGAAGATAGAAAACTCTTGATTCAGGCAGCTATCGTTAGAATTATGAAAATGAGAAAGGTGTTGAAGCATCAACAACTGGTAGCCGAGGTTTTGAATCAATTGAGTTCTAGGTTCAAACCGAGAGTTCACGTTATTAAGGTAAGGATTTATCTTTATGTATATACACTCCACGCGACAGGGTCTTCAGGGTTTCGCCAAGTCTTCTTCGTACGGATAGTACGATGAGTTAGGATGATAGTGCAAACACGATGTTAAGATGATTCTACTCTTTCAGAAATGTATAGATATTTTAATTGAGAAAGAATATCTGGAGCGCACAGAGGGTCAAAAGGACACTTACAGCTACCTGGCATGATCATCGAGTTGATCCAGGACGACAACGATACAGCAACGATCATACGTGCAAACAAAAGATAACTGTCCAGTGCTGTCATTGCTGCTAGATATCATCACAATATTTATTTAAGTCTCTATGATACATTTTTTCCCTTGTACATGGCTGCCCTTCTTGTACCACACCACGGTGTCCCTCTGGTCGCATTTAGAGTCTGGTTTTTATAATACGTTAATAAAATCATTTCATAGTCAAGCTGTGCTAGGTGTGTGGTGTTACTTTGACTACTGGTAAATTCAACTACCATTTGTTTTTGACATACCGTGTTGTCGTCTGCTGTGCTCGAGAGATGCCGTAGAATCGTTCTTAATTTAACTCATTGAATTCGTGACTTTATACGAGAAAATTATAAACTCTGGAATGAAAAGGAACAGCCGCTGAACGAAGATCGCGTGTGACAAGAGTAAAATGCGTAAACTCTGTGTGTGTGTGTGAATAAAACAATATAAATTTTAAGTGATTAATATAAATTAATTATAATCTCGAATTAACGAATAAGAATCGAGAGCTGGATATATTATCGTTTCTTTCCCCATTTCTCTCTCTCTCTCTCTTTATCTCAATAATAATGCCGTAACTTCTCTCAGCTTAAGAGGTAAGAAAAAGAAATTCATCATTCGCGTGTGTATCATACCAATACTTGAATTTAAACGGATAGATTATGATGATGATGGCGACGACGATAATAATAATAATAATGCAAACTCACAAAGCTTATTCAACGACGACGACGACGCTAGTGACGTGTACAATGGAAAGAAAATTTTATACCAGAGAATAAAAAAGTCTGCTTTGATAACACAAAGATTATATTATTTCTTCATGCATAGCATTCTCCGACGTTACGTTCACGATTACTCTGATGGCGGAGGCGGCGGCACACGGTACAGTAGAAAATACTTTCTTTGACGAAGACTCAAACGATACGACATGTCACGTACGTCTGTTACCTCGTTGAAATGTTCACTTTGTAATTTGGATTCATTCGTTCAAAGTACGATGTGCAATGGATAGCGAATAGGTACATTTTTAACCGTAATTTCATCGTAAAAGTTGTTGATACACCGACCTATTTTTAAGTTTAACAATTACCATTGAATGAGCAAACACACAACGTGTGTGAGGCTGATATGTAGAACGGAATGTATAAAATAATTTTAAGCGAACCGCATTATTGTAGTTTTAAAAAGGGCGGTTGCGAATCATCGCCATCATTGGTCGACAAGTGAATCAGGACGGGTTTCAAAATTTCCTTCTGCCCGCGTGAAATCGAACGTTCTTCTCTTCCTTTGATTAAGTTTGTTACCTATGTAGGTGCGTAAGTATGTTTTTGCTACTTATTTGCTACTTATTTGCGTTTTTTAGTCTGTCTACTAACAAAAATCGATACGAAGAAATTTTATTCATTTTAATGCAAGATTCAAATAATCCTTCGTTCTTCGTCGTACTTTCGTATTTCATATTATACATGACTTCGAACGTTCACATGCACTTTTCAGTTTCTTTTTTTTCTGTATAAATTCCTTCGATTTATAAGTTTCATCGTTGCACTATTCCGACTAGATCTGGATTTAAGATTAAACACGAGTGTATTAGATAAATTGCAAATTGTTACACGTATAGATCAACAGGAATATAAAATAAAGTCATCGCAGGTAACGTATTGTAAAGAGGCACATCATTTTTTTCATACAAAAATGTTATTAAAATTTGTGTCGTGTAACATAAAATTGTATAAAATGTATGGCTATGGAATGTTATTCCATCTTTCGCAATGTATAAATTGTAGCAGTAGTTATTTAATAAATGTTTTGTACACAATACGTTACAAATTTTCAACTTTCTGATCCAGTAGTCTCGAAAAATCTTGTTTCGTAAAGTCCAGTTGTCCGATAGCCACTAAGCATGCCTTGAGTACGCGCGCGCGTTTGTGTGTGTGCGCGCGTGCGTGCGTGCGTGCACAGATAAAAAAATATGTAGATAAAATAATAATTTTCATATCGTATACGGTCGCGTAAGCAACGAAGTGAATACGTACATTTTGCTTCTTCAAGTTATCTACGATCAACATTTGTTTTTTAAATACTTGTATCACCTCTGAAAGTTGCTTCCCCAAACTGCTGACCGACGATCTCTTCTCTTCTTGGAGTCTTCTCATTTGGATTTTCAATTCCTGTATGGACGGAGAGAGAGACAGAAATTGGATGAAATAAGTTTCAACTGACGCCATAATTCTACTTCTACGATCTTTGGTACCTTCTCTTCTATTTCAGTACACTTGAGTGCACTCTTAAGTTTATCATTATTCTCTAAAGCCCTGTTCAATCTCATAATGTAATTGTTAGATTGTTGGCTCGCTGTCTTTAGTTCTTTCTGAAACTTGTCTAATTCCTGTTAAAAACAATGTGTTCTTGTACAGACACGACGACGACGACGATGAAAAGAATAATGCATTTTGTCATATCATTAGCAATGTATACTTTTCTCAAGGCTGCGTTTTCCGTGTTCAATGCTTGCAACTCGCTCTGAAACCCTTTAGTCGAACTCTCCAACTTTGAGACGGTCTCTTTCAACGACTCTATTTCTTTCTTCGACAGGGTTTCAATTCTTTTATTATCAGACTCTAAGTCCTTGCAGGTATCGCACTGGAATAATAACGCGATAATCTAAACATGTATTAACGATATTTTTCTATGGACTACGGATCACCTTCTTTCTGTACTCGATTCTCAACGTATGTAACTCATCTTGTAACATGTCTATTTTTGCTTTGAAAGTATTGAGAACTGCTTTGTTTGCCAAGGTCGTTCTTTTAAAAGCTTCATCCTCGTTTGTGCTCCTTTCTATTTCTACGTTCCTACCGCGCGTACAAATAACATTGAGAACGTTCGGCCTAACATTCCTATTGTGAATTTTTTAATTTTTCAACAGCTACCTACACAGCTTTATGTTTACTCACGGTTTCGAACTGGTCGTGGTGAACTGGTCGAAAATTTGCGATAAAGACGAGGAGCAGTTTCTTCTGATCGATGACTGCGCGTTATTTTCATTTCTTGAACAATCTATTTGATTTCTCATACGATTTACATAATCCGTTTCCGCGTTAGAAACAGTGTGTTTCCCGTTATTACAAGTATTGATAACAGAATCTATTTCTTTCACCAAATCTTGTGCCTTGTGCTCAAGCTGCTTGTTCAATTGACGAAACTCTTCCTCTTTAGACAATAAGTAATCTTCGGTCATTTTTCAGCATAAAACTATACGTCTATTGTTTTATTGTTATTATTAAAGATTAAGTAAGGTAATTTTCGTTCGTCAGGCATATGCATAGTTGGGAGCCAGGACGGCCAGGACCACCTGCTGTTCATCCGATTTTGTTTACGTCGCTATAGCTAGCTGGTTACAGTACGTGCGGCCGCCGTGCGGTGCAGTGCGCTGTATATGAAGGGGCGGTAGTTATTCGTTTTCAAACATATGATAGTTACGTAAAGTTAAACAACGTGAGAAGGCGTTAGAAATATAATAGGTATTGTATGCGTGCGTTCAAAAATTTGGCATAAATAAAAATGACGGCACGTTCAATTCTACAAGGTACGATTTCCGACGGCACGACGGTCTGACAGTTTTGCCAAGATGCTTGGCGACGGCGGTATTTCATCAACGATTTTTTTTATTTTTCTCACGCTGTTCCTGTACCATAGTCTTTGATCAGTACCAGAAGGCCCGCCTGTTCTTCGTTCAATCCATCGCCGATTTTGCATCGAAATCAAACACTGTAGAATGTTTGGAAGCCGCAGGAGTCCTGGACCTCCTGTCCCCTTTGCTGACAGACCCGGTCCCGTCCATTCGACACATGGCAGCTATAGCTTTAGGAAAGATCGCAAACAACAATTCTAGATTGGCGCAAGCTGTCGTAAGAATGGATATCTTACCTCAGTTATTGAAGAACATTTCTAAACAAAATGTATGAATGTAAGCAGCTTATAAATGTGAAACAATTTTTCTTTTCTTTTTTTTCGCCTGCTTAAAACAGAATTTTAACTTCATCGTTACGAAATACGATAAATAGATCATAGATCATTCGTCGTTGCAGAAATTTTATAAGAAGGCAGCTGTGTTCGTTTTGCGTGCAATCGCCAAACACTCTCCTGAATTAGCGTCTATGGTCATCCAAAGTAACGGTTTGGAAACCATAATAGTCTGTTTAGAAGATTTCGATTCTGGCGTGAAGGAAGCCGCTGCTTGGGGATTGGGATACATCGCCAGGCATAACAAGAACTTGGCCCAGGCCACAGTCGATGCAGGTATTCGACGTCTTTTGCATTCTACGTCATCGTGTCTTTGGTCGTCAATGTCGATTCGCGGATTCGGTTGTAGGAGCGGTACCTCTGTTGGTGTTATGCTTGCAAGAACCTGAATTATGTTTAAAGCAGATCGGTGCATCCGCTTTGTACGACATAAGCAAACACAATAATGAACTAGCGGAAAACGTCGTAGACGCAGGGGCCATCCCTTTCCTTGCAAAAGCATTGTCTAATCCTGACACCAAGTTAAAGGTGACTGAAACACAGCGGCGCGTAGCGTTGTCTAATGCAATGTAATATTCTGCTTATTGATACTGTCACACGCAGCGTCAAGTTCTTTTGGCATTAAGCAGTATAGCAAAACACTCTGTAAATCTGGCAGAATCTATCATCGAAGCAGAGATCCTCCCTGACGTTCTCGTACACATGGCACATCCCGATGAATGTGTCGTCAAGGCTGCTGCGATGTTGACCAGGGAAATTTCCAAACATACATTGGAAGTAACCGGCATTGATTTTTAAATTGAACTTCGCTTGAACTTGTTCGCAGTTCCGCGTGATCCATTATAATTCAAAGATAATTGCACACGTTCCCGCCCCCCCTCAGATGGCCCAGCTCATTGTAAATATCGGTGGCATCGGTGCACTCGTCGAGTTGATCTGTACTGCAAAATTGACTGCCAGATTGCCAGCAATAATGGCAATTGGTTACATCGCTGGTCACTCGGATCAGTTGGCTGTTGCAGTTATAGGATCGAAAGTACGACGTTTCAATATCATCGTCATCGTTTTCACGATACGCGGTCTACCTTACAAAGGAATAGATATGCTCGATGCTCGATTGCAGGCGATCGTTCACTTATCTACTATATTACACGACGAGGAAGAAGAACAACGACAACGACATCAACAACAACAACAAGGAGACGATCATACGCTTGCCGTTACCGTATGGGCGATTGGCCAAATCGGAAAGCATACATCGGAACATGCAAAGGCAGTTGCAGTTGCAGCGGATGTTTTGCCGAAGTTGTTGCAAGTACGTTGTGTCGTTACGGCGGATCACGGTCTTTTCTCGCTCCTGATGCTCTGTGTCCCATCGCTATAATTTATCGCTGTATTTTCAGCTCTACAACAGTCCAAACACTTCGGAAGATCTCAAAGCAAAATGTAATTTAACGCTGAAGCAAGTACTACAGAGATGTATGCACATCGAAGCTTTGGAGCCTTTGTTGCATGACTCACCACCTAACATTCTGAAGTATGTGTTAGGACAATTTAGTAAGGTAAGAGGGATATATACACGTATTTCACTTTACAAGTTGCACATAAAATATACAAATTGAAACGTAACGGTACATCGCTCACTGAAACAACACTTTCTCATTACAAATCTCTGTTAGATCATGGTTATATCGTCGTTCATCACACAGATACAGTGGAATAAATTCTATAAGCTGAGCATACGCATTTGAATCAATCAAATTTATCCGATCTGACGACAATGGTCCGGTTACATAAAATGAATTCTGTCGATTACTACTGATTCGACTGATGACTTCCGCTCGTAATAAACTTAAATTTTACGTACGAATAAATTCATGGAACATCATTGTATCGTGAGCTAGCTAACGTCGATGAAAAATTGGTCGAGTACAGTTTCGTTAATTAAGAAAAATGGTTCCTCTTCATTCCCAATTCGCCGCCAGGTCACTGGCCTGTATAAACATTTCGTACATAGCATTAGGATAATAAAAGATCTTCGACACTGGTACAATTCAATTGTATAATCCCGGTATGCCCTGTCTCATTGCATTCGTTTCATGATCAATTGACGATGAAAGTGAGAAATCTAAGATTACACAAGACGGTTTCGACTTCGACAACTTTTTTTATTATTGTTACATCGGCTCGGTCCTAATCGTTATGGCCCGTACGATATTTTGAAAAAGCACATTTCTCAGTCTTACGACGACGATAAATCGGTTTGGCTAAAATCGACGAGAACTTGATCACTCGTTAAAGCTGCTCCTTCCATTCAAAAATTGTTAATTACAATTTGAAACGCGTTTCAAGCTATGCTACTTGCGTCTGTTCTGTATCGTTTACTTATACGTATGTACTTTCTAACGGCAGTAGTGTATACAAAGAGACCGGTAGTACAAAAGTTGTAGATACAAATAAGAAAGGTATTCTTAAATTAGAGTTAGAAATTAATTAATACTAATGAAAATTGTTATTTATAAAGTTGTCGATTAATAAGGCATTAATTTGATATTTCTGGTGATTCGTGATAAGTTCAGAAACGATGCTGCTGCTGCTGCTGCTTCTTCTTTACAGTGCATTGCTCATTTTTTTTCCTCATAAATCGAGTAATTTACGATATACAACTGATACGGCAGTAGCAGTAATTACATTCACTCTGATACTAGCTACTTTCCTATCTTTTCGTTTGAATACATTTTTGTTCAAAGAATATTAACCGATACGATGCGATAATAGACGTTTCGTAGTTTCACCAAAACTTTTGCTGCATGACAGTATCGAATTGTAAAGCAATTAAGGCATATACTTGGTTTAGAGCATGCAAACTGTCCAAGCATCTCTGAAAAAGATGAGAAAAGAAATCAATAAAATTTGCCGATTGAAAACTTTTTGTTAATTCTTTACTTAAAAAGAAAAAGAAGATACCGAAGTAAAATAATATGTAATCCTATCTAAAAACGGTATCCTTTCGAACGATATCAGATGTTTCATGTTCTAACTGTGAAACTGTTGCTTTGTGAAACATACGTATAATAGATGACAATTTGGGCTGTAACTTTTACTACGTTTAGATGCTACGCGTTACTCTTCTGATTTCCTATTGCTCGTTTACCAACAACAATTTGTAGATGGCTAGTATACGATTTGCACGTATCATTTTCATATAGAAGTATACGTGGCAACGCGTGGTGTACGTGGCAAGCACAAATTTATGATCTACGTAGTCATTGTGTGGCAAACAAAGTTAAAGGTGAAATACGACTACTTGTACGTGATGAAAAGACAAATAAGTATGTTTCACACTGATATCTTACGTAACATGATAAGCTCTCTGATAGAAAGAAAAAACAAAATTGTTTCCAAAAATTAAATCGTATCAATTTCAACTAGTTACGACGTTCGAGTCGCGCTCTCAGTTCTTTTTACAAAGCAATAGGTCCAACCAGTTAATTTGTCTATCAAAAATTAGACTCGTCCCGTTAGTCTACCGCCGCTCCCCGTTCACGCACGCATGAACGTAACAAAATCATTGTTTCATTCGTCATTGTCGTCGTTAGGTTTAATGCTAGCGTAATTGTTCATGTTTCTATTCACCCTCAACATTTTGAGAAAACTGCCTAACACGAGTATAGTCTTCCTGTGTCTTCTGAAGATTCCGGCATAGAGTTCCTCGCGCACGTCTCTTCTATCACTCACGTCAGAATCTATGCTCGATACAGAGACCACGGAAGGCTTTGCAGAAACCGGCTGATGATAGTTGTTGGTCTCTCCCGTATTAAGAATAACGCAATGTTGGTTGTTTATCATGTCTACTTTTCAAATGTTCCACTTTCCTTTACTTCGTCTTCGTTTACGTCGAATCAGAGTCGTTTCTTCTTTGCGTTGTTCAAAACGATCGAAACACGTACGTTTACAATAATTTACTGCTGCTGCTGCTGCTACTGCTGCGTAGAGCACGCTTCGTATGTGTGATACGTATAACTACCAACTGATCTCACGATGACGACTGCTTATAAATGACAGACCTTCGCATCGCCAATCTTGTCAGAAATATTTTCTAGAAATCTCCTCTGACTGACAGTGCGATTTAGTTGGTACACGCTACAAGTGTTTCGCCTCTGTGTAAAAGTAGTGATATCTTATTTATCACTCGCTCCACCGTTTTATGATTAAATTTTAAGGCATCTGTCTCCTCTTCTTATCATCTAATTCTCTAATTACATTGTTGATTCAACTTTGATGTTTCATTAGAATCGTGTCCGAAGAAGCTCGGTTTCGGACCGCGCGCTTTCACTGTTTCTTTTACGTATTTTTATCATAGACGTGTTTATCGTTAACATCTTTGATCGTCGTCCTTTTCTGATTCTTTGAATTATTGAAAAGTGCTTAACAAATTCAGACTGAACGCTCGGGTCAAAGCTGTTTATTAAAAAAAACCTATATCGTATGATAGAAAAGATGAAGGACAGCAATGGCACTCGATATTCGCTTTTAAAGATGATTGTAAAAGCAGTGGTCGTGAAAATGCTTTCCTTTCCTTTTGTGGCCGATTTGCTTTTTAACGTCACATAGAATTATATATCTGAAAAGATTTCATCAGTTTTATTATTATATCACGAAACGGTGTGACTTATCGTCGTGACGATCAAGATTTTCGATTCGGAACGCCGAGAAAACTTCTTTTAAACGTCTACTACTACTACTACTACTACTATTACTGCTACTATTACTACTACTACTACTACTACTACTACTACCACTACTACTACCACTACTACTACTACTGGCAAGCAGACGCGAATAAACGTTCTGGTATTTTCGTGTTTTCGAAAATGTGATATTTCTGGTGACGACGAGGGAAGGCGACGGAAAATGTGGAAAAATTTGGCTTCGGGGCGTCGCGCACAATGTTTATGTCATGAATCGCGATACGAAGAACAACTTTCTCGATACCTATCATTACAATTCTCGTCTGCAGAGACTGATGATCGCCTGAAAACGTCTCCGTCAGCGTTTAGCATGTACAAATTTACCATTTACATACGTTGTTGAACTTGTTCTTGAACATTGATACATGTACTACTACACGTCTTATATGATAATATAGAGTTCAGCTTGAAACCAAATTTCGAGTTTAATTTTCTGATTGATTTACATAGATTTTGCCTCACGATGCCAGGGCAAGAAGATTATTTGTTACGTCTGGTGGTTTGAAAAAAGTACAAGAGATTCAGGCTGATCCTGGTTCGACGCTTTTAGAATACATACAGATTATTAATTGCTGTTTTCCCGAGGAAATTGTCAGGTTCTTTTTAAATTCAATTACATTCGTTTCGGCATCGAGCAAAAGTAATTTTAAGGATGTGATACGATGAATCATGATGATGCCATTGACACCGTCGCGTTCTTGACGCGAAATAATTCATGTCCGCGGTCTACAAATTTTATTCGGCATTACCCGCTGTTGTGTACACGTTCTGTACGTAGAAAACGATATACGCACGCACGCACAGAATAAATTCATCGATGAGTATTAGGTAGGTGATCGTCAGAAAAACACTAGTTGCTCTTGGCATAACCCCTGGCGACTGGATTTACTTACCGAAAGCAATTCGCGAACGCGATTTCCCGACGATTGAAAAAGTCCAGTCTCTCCTCACACGTCCAGTCGTTTACACGAGCATCGCGAATGCAAATAACTGCACAGTCGGAGGTCTCTGGATCGCGTGTGTCTTCTTAATTTAAAACGGGCAGCTAATATATGGCATGATCGCCATGTTGTCACAGCTGATCGCATTGGAAAAATATAAACTCGAATATTAATGGATCAATAATTTACGTGAATAACTCGAGATGATAATCTAGAATCATCGTAGAGGATAGTTTATGCCAGATATCCTGTATTTGTTGTTCTTACGGCGATGCATGGTGCGCGCGTGTGTGTGTGTATGTGTGTAATCTTCCGGCACGAATTTCCGCACGAATTTATTTATTTCGATTTTAGATATTACTCGCCCGGTTATCCAAGCAGTCTTTTGGAAGCTGTGGAACAGTATCAACCGAAATGCCCCTCTCTGTTTGCCATGGAGGAACATTTGCCTTCCGACATAGATTCAAAATCTTCCTTATCATCCTTTAATGAGGAGGGTTAAATGGATAGATAAAAATCTCGGTCGTAAGTGCACGTGCGTTATATACGTCCAGTTAAAAGATTACTAAGAAGAACAGAATGAACGAACCATCGACTATAGAATTCATATTGTCAAATAAATCTTTTCAGAAGAACCATTTTACTTTCTTTCTTTCGAGCGAAAAGAGAGATACGATCTTTTTACAAGTTGATTTAATTAAAGTTCGTTAAAGTTCATTTCATATAGATGACAATATTATGATTATTATTATTACGTCGAGAAGAGGCCGCGGAATCAAGCGGGGCGACCAGGAGGAGACAGGCGAGAAGAGGAGCAGGTTGCCCGACGCCGTATCTTTTTTGGAACGGTCAGCAGCGGGTCGTTGGCTGGTAGACGTAGGATCCGTAGGAGCCTGTTCCCTAGGCTCTTAGGCGTAGGTGTTCTCTTCACAGCTCTCGTCGTTCACCATAGTATCGAGACGTAACGACGCTAGCTTCAACGCGTGATCATAGAAAGAACAAGTAGCCACCAGTAGGAGGTTTTGCGCTTCACTCGTTTCGATTATTTCCCGTGCAGTTTGTTCGCAGTTCAGGAAAGACCAGTCGCACCCGTACGCTATGCTCTCGTGCTCATCGTATTTGCCAATGATGCACGGAGTTTCCGAGTTTTCGCAGTCGATCACTTGAAATCCGCCATACATGCAAGCCGCTAATAAATATCTTCGCGCGAAAGGATCCCATTTCAAACGCCAAATGCCACCACGTAGATTCGTTTGTGAAACGGGTCGCTCAAAGTTCCTCGTGTCCCACAATCTCAGTATCTCATCGTAACTGAAACATCGTGCGCGCGTGATCAAACGTGACTATCGTCGTGAACGTTACTACTTTTTGTTACGATACAACGCACCTTCCGGAAGACAATAAGAATTCTCTCGTCGCGTTGCTATGAATGCTCGTCACGCCGGCGCGATGGATCTGATTGGAAGCAGTGGCTCGACGAGTTCCTATCCTCGCATCGAAACGTTGGAATTTACAATCGTCTCCACCTTGAAACGTGATCTCTGTTAGATCGATCGCGAAAATGCCGATCGTTCGTCGCGAATCGACATTTTCTTCGTACTACCGCTGTATATTACGTTCGCGTCCCAATAATCGAAAGTGGCGATCCAAGCTTCGAATTCGTGCGCGGTCCACGAACAGACTGGATCGAGTCCGTCACCGTTCATCTCGAACAATGACACGACACCTTTCGAGTCGCTGACTACGATCCTAGGATTAGGTTCGTCGTTCGTCGACGTACTGCTGCCGCTATGAGACCAATCTAAAGATAACGCGAGAGTTTCGTCCGTGTTCACGATTCTTTTTTCCGTTAAGAATGCCAACTTCTTTTTCTTCCCCTCCTCCTCCTCCTCCTCCTCGTCTCCGTCGTTTTCGAGTCGATAAATTTGTAGGCACCCTGAACAGTTTGCGACTCCGAGTAAAATTTGATTTCTGCACGTGACGCGTGCCCATTTCATATCTAAGACGGCGGGTACGTCTAACTTTTGTAACAACGTTATACGTCCATTTTTCGATGCTCTGAACAGGTAAATTCTACCTAGACGTTTTGACGTTAATTCGTCTTCGGTTTTCGACAACTCATACGTCCCGCAGACGAATACGTCTTTGAAAGAATCTATGGGACACCACTCGACGGAATCGGCCGAGAATTCTGTATCGAACGTGTCCAAAGTACGGAACATACTTGGTCGATTTCGCGATCTGTAACAACACGAAACGACGTATCAATATTAAAGGGGTATGCATCGTATGTGTTGTGTGTGTGTGTGTGTGTGATATGAAAAAGGACTATAGGAAAGCATCGGGGAATGATCGGACCCGTGACAAGTTTTATTTAGTTGTAAATATCAGAATCGATCAGACAAATTATGTATGTACATACGAATGAATACGAGAGGTACGACGACGACACGTTTAAATATTTGAAATGATACGAGCTACGAACGCACGCATGAATATTTTTACTCGCATGCGAGACGATCACACGCGTAGGTACAGTCTCGTTGGTTTTTTATCATTGAGAAATTTGACATTTTATTTGAAGGCCGGAGGGACCGATACAAAGGATTGAACGAGCTTAAAAAATTTGACGAATCTCGCTGTGTAACTTGTATACTGTACGTATCTACTGTCTATTACTACTACCACTACTACGAATGTACATCGTCGCTATCGTTAAGATCACGTCTCAGTAATTTATTTAGGAACAAGACGCGATCGATATTTGTGTAGTAAATGAGCAAAAGTCGTTTAAACATTATATAGGAACTTCTCGTTTTCCGTAGTAACACGTATGCGACAGTCACCATCACTACTTATCGTAAGTACACATCACGACGTACTACTTGTATCTACGTCTCTCGTAACAAATACATGTGATCAGTGAATCGATTCATCTCATATTTGGTTCCATCGTATTTGGGAAGCTATCTCTTTGTACTATCAACGACTCGATTCGACGAGCTTTAGGAAAAAATACTCGGTAGGTATACATACATACAGTTGTGTCGAGTCTACACAACGAATCCAGACCAGGTGAAACTTAAATTAGTATGAGGAGAACACGATCGTTTTATCGAAAAATATTTTGTATCGCGTTTGTTCGCTGACGATACTGTTAGTAATAGCTACAACGAACGGAGTCGTGATCACCCAGCCAGATATCAGTTTCATTGTACTCTTTGGTAGTTTCAAAATTAATAAATAGTGTCCTACGTTCTAAAATAAATATAGGTACATATACGATACGATTACATAAAAGACGCGCGAAGATTCACTCTGATGACCACTGCTGTCGTCGGTGATGGTGGTGGTCAGCGAAGTGGATCCTTGAGGTAGACCATAGACCATCTATCTATTATGGTTCTTTCGATATTCAAACAGTATAAATGCACTTGGCTCTGACAAAAATATACACTTCTCTTATAGATATCTTTTCTTGTCTCGAGTCACGGAATGAAATCGTGTCGAAGACTTATTGGTCCTACTGACGAGCACTTTTCTCAGTCTCAACCAAACATTCCCTGACTAAAATACGTGCGTGTACGATGCCGCGTTTTATCTTTTCTATCGAAGTACGACTGCCGGCATAGGTAGGCCGAACTTCGTGACCGAGTTCCTCTATGACACTTAGCAGTTGAACGTACTTAGATTGGCCAGGTACTGAAGGAACAGTTTGCTGTAGAGCTCTTGGATTCGGTACATTGAGCAACGGTTCCATCGTTTTCGTGCTAACGTCGACGTTTCCTCGTTCCTCTTCCATCTTCTATATCTGTTCTCTTTTTAAAATAAATATCCTAACAAATAACGTACGAAGAGAGTCTAAATTATAACGAACGACACATAGTGGGAACTAATAAAATTTGTTATAAACATCGCGATTGATTTCGTGTTATCGTTAGTCATCAGGTATTTAGAGTACGAGACAAGTTTGAATTCTAGTAGAATGCATGCGAAAACGATCCGATGCGATCGCCGAGAAATAAAATGTATGTACTATTACGTATCTGATAATTTTAAATGAAACTGTCTTTCTAAATACATTGTCTTTCACGAAACTCACCTTTGCTCTTCTCACGGTCTTCTTATACACTACCGATGAACGAAGATTAGCTGCCCTGCGCGATAAATAAGTAAGTACCTACGAGGTGTACTTACGAAACGGAATTTAAGCGTAATAAGTTAAAAATCTTACAAACTACACATGTTTGTATCTATTTATCATTCACTATCCCGTGTGCCGTGGACGTGTAGTATCTACCTATCGGCTGTCTGGGCTGTGTCTGTGTCGGGCTGATGGTGTGAGCGCCTTGACAGTCATCGTCATCGGCGGCTCCAGGCGGCTCGTCGTCGTTGTTGGTCGTGTTGTGAGTTCATGAAATAAGAGCACAGCAGAGAGGAAAGTAGAAGAAAAGAGCAGAGCGCGGATTCCGGTGGCGGGTTTTCGGCGTGTCCCGCGCGTGCGTATCGAAAGTGTGCTACGTACTAGAGATGGTGTCCAAAATCACTAAACTAACCGTGATTTTTCACGATGATCACAAAATCACGATCACGAGTCGTGATTATACTCAATCACGACCACGATCTTATAGACTATTTTCTATAATTATAATGAGGTATGCGTACACTGACCTCAAACGATTTTGAGACTGCACGTGGCCCCATCTAACGTTCACTACCGCGATCCCGCTTGATTCCAATCACTGACTCCAATATCTGCGGCCATATTGGCTTGCATGGAAGAATGTAATAGTGTACACACACACTACACATATACATATACACATTACATACACACGTAGGATAATGCCATATAATGCTACCAGAGATGCTACTAGTAACTTGTACTGCGCATGGGTAAAAATCCCACGATGTGCCCATCACTGCTAGAAGTAGCAGTAGACATTTTCAATATTTTGCACAGCAATTTTCGATTTTGTGCACCTTTATCAAGGCATGCGTAAGTAAATATAGTTGCCTCGTATATAATATTATCCAATTTATAGCGTTCGATACTGTAATTTATAAGATGGACGTTGTTGCGTTACGTTGATATCAGCGTTGAACGTTCATTGACACATTTTGCAATTTCGACGTAACATCATCGTCATCGTCGTTGTTACTGTTCTCGTTCAACATCAGTCAATTTCTAGCATATTTGTCACAAATAATTTTAGGTTCGTAACATGTTGGAAGTTCGAGTGGTCACGTCGCGTTTAAACGCAACGCGTACATGCAGTGTTTAGGTTTCGTTATTTTTGTGTCATTCGTGAAATGCGTTGTTCGTGGAAAGTATGGTTTGTTACGGTGTATTTTCCTTGCAGCAAATTGATCGTTACGTCTATTGAACGAGGCGAAACATGACGGAGGACATGTCAGGAGCCGACATCTGCAGGGTTTGCAGGTCCGAGGGCCTCGCGGACAGACCTCTCTTCCATCCGTGCATCTGCACGGGCAGCATCAAGTGGATACATCAGGAGTGTTTAGTACAGTGGATGCGGTATTCGAGGAAAGAATATTGTGAACTCTGTGGATACCGTTTTTCTTTCACGCCGATTTATAGTCCAGACATGCCACGTCGTTTACCGTTAAGAGACCTTATCGGAGGATTGTTTTCCAACATTGTAACAGCAGTGAAATACTGGCTACATTATACCTTGGTCGCGATAGCATGGCTTGGTGTCGTACCGTTGACCGCTTGCAGAACTTACAGAGCACTGTTCAGCGGTCCTCTCGATCTGGTTCGAGTAAATATCATTTTATAATCGGTCCGCCCCGTTTTCGGCATACGACGAAAGACCCAAGTGGCTGTCTCCGTTTTTATTTGCAGATAATGTCGTTACCAATGGACATCCTGTCCGCAGAAAATATATCGTCGGACGTGTTTCATGGATGCTTCGTAGTCACTTGTACCTTGTTTGCTTTTATCGGTTTGGTATGGTTGAGGGAGCAAATTTTACACGCTGGTGGCCCGGATTGGCTGGAGAGAGATAATATACAATTGCCGCCGGTCGATAATCCAGCCCCGAACGCAGAAGCAGCGCCCGAGCCACAACAGTTCCAGGAACAAAGGGCCCTCGAACAACAGGAAATTCAGGATAACAATAACGTACCACCGTTCGTCGACGAACCACCGCCGCCACCGCCACCGCCGCCGCCGCCACCAGTCGTACCAGAGCATCCGAACAACGACGATGATCATCTGCTGAGGAATGCCGCAGCCGCCGTCGTCGAAGAACACGGGGTACGAGAAAATAATTTGGCCGACGATCAAAGGATAGAAGAAGCCGAAGGAATCGGCGGCAGAGATGTCGAACAACGACCCGCTGGCGTCGTCGTTCCTAGAAGCGGGGATCAGCATTTGGAACAACAGCCCGTAGCTCCACGCCGAGACGCGGATCTGTTGATGTTGCCCGTGCAGCAACCTGCTGCCGCAGCACAGGCCAGAGACGAGTTGGTGGTCGGTGGCATGGACGGTGGAGAGCAGGCGAATCAAAGAGCCGGCGATGGATGGAGAGATCCCGCTCAGGGACAGGCGCAAGCTGGGGAAGCTGAAGAGGCGAACTGGAACCCGCTCGAATGGGACAGACCCGCGGAAGAACTGACCTGGGAACGTTTACTCGGCTTGGACGGATCTCTCGTCTTCCTTGAACACGTGTTTTGGGTCGTCTCGCTGAACACGTTGTTCATCATGGTATGGTTTTCTCCGTACGTTTAAATCTCTCTTTACGACTGTCTGTGGACAGGTGCCTCTCGAACTGAAACTGATGTTTGCGCTTCTTTTAGGTTTTTGCTTTCTGCCCTTACTACATCGGTAGTTTCGCGATAGCTGGCTTAGGCTTGCAAGAGTACGCGGCAGCGTCGCACTTCGAAGGATTAGTGACCACGTTATGCGGCTACTGCGTCACGGGAGTGTGGCTGGTGGTTCTTCATACGTTAGCGGCTCCTCTGGGTTTCCAACGTTCTCAACGTCTACTGGGTCTGTGCTATGTCATAGTGAAAGTTTCTTTACTCTCCGTCGTCGAGATAGGTGTACTTCCTCTGGTCTGTGGTTGGTGGCTAGATATTTGTTCGTTAGCAATGTTCGATGCCACGCTCCGAGACAGGGAGACTTCGTTCAAGCTAGCTCCTGGTACCTCGATGTTTTTACATTGGTTGGTGGGAATGATTTACATATATTACTTCGCTTCATTCATCTTGTTGTTACGAGAAGTTTTACGACCAGGAGTACTTTGGTTTTTGAGAAACTTGAACGATCCCGACTTCTCTCCTATCCAAGAAATGATTCATCTTCCAATTTTAAGACACGTCAGAAGACTCGTAGCATCGGCAGTGATATTCGGAACAGCTATCTTGTTGATGCTATGGTTGCCCGTGAAGGTACTGAGATGGGCATGGCCGGGATTTTTACCGTACACCGTGACCATTCAAAGCGAAGCTCAGGTAAGAAAATCGCCAGGTAGGTAGGTAGATATGTGGGTAGGAAGAGCGGAGAAGCGAATAGTTTCCACTTGCCGATATCATCCACAGATTGTAATTTTTGCTATTGTTTCCTTTCGAAAAAATTAGGTCAGTGAATTATCGTTGGAACTGTTGTTACTGCAAGTAATTCTTCCTGCGTTACTGGAACAATCGCATACGCGTACGTGGCTAAAAGCTCTAATAAGAGGCTGGTGTCGAGTAGTAGCCTGGATGTTAGATCTGCAGTCGTATCTGTTGGGCGAACCAAACGAGGAACCGGGACCTGCAGTGATCGAAGAACCTCAGCATCCGGATTTAGGTGCAGCGCATCAAGCGCTATTGCAAAGAGGAGGGCCGACAGGTTTCCAACCGTACATCAGGCCACGCTGGTTTCCTGCTCGTCTAGTCGGCCTTTTACTTTGTGTTTGCGTTTCTCTCGTTATCGCTAGTTTAATCGCAATGATTCTGCCCGTTTGGCTTGGACGCAGAGTAATGGCGTTGTGGATGGTTGGAGCTCCGGCTCCGTCTCCGCCCGTACTACCACCACCTGCTCTCAGTGGGTCTGGTAAGTTTGCTTCTATGACTGATCGACCCACGTTCTCCCAACGCGACGTTATTCCGCCTCCGTCTCGCTTGGCCTTGACTCGCCTCGTCTCGTCTCGTCTCACCTCGCACCATTGCTTGTCATTTTTCAGAGACCAACGAAGCTGCCGCCGCCGTTGCTTTGTCCGGACGAGTACATGAATTATATACCGTAGCTTGTGGGACATACGTGTGTTGGGCCGCAGCAAGAGGACTGGCGTTGGCGTTCTCTTGGTTACCACGTGGTCGGAGAGCTCTCCTCGATAGAATAAAACATTGGGCGATCATAGGCGTGAAAGCATCGGTGGCATGTTTCCTGTTGATCGGCCTAATACCGTTGCTGTTCGGTCTTCTTCTCGAATTGGTCGTCGTAGTACCTTTACGCGTACCTCTGGAGCAAAATCCCATTTTATTCATCTGGCAAGACTGGGCGCTGGGCGTGTTGTACACGAAGATAGCAACCGCTATTACCATGATGGGTCCAGATTGGAGGATCCGCCTTGCGATCGAGCGGGCGTACAACGATGGTATCAGAGAATCAGACTTGAAGTTCATCGTTACGGAACTAGCGGCACCGGTGATATGTTGTTTCGGTCTCGCATTGGCCGTTCCCTACGCCGTGGCTTACGGAATAGTCCCACTTTTAATCACCAATTTACAGACGCAAATTCTTATCGCTAGACGTTTATATCCCTTCCTTCTGTTAGTACATTTGGTATGTATCATTATCTATTTTCAAATTCGACAATTCAAGAAACTTTACGAACATATAAAGAATGACAAATATCTCGTGGGACAGAGACTCGTAAATTACGAACATCAAAACAAGTCTCAACAGACATGAACAACAATAGCGTCGACCACGACCATTGATTAAGCTGTGACTTATCTAGTGTAATTTGTTTCTCGACACGGAAATTTAATAAACGACAATTCTCTATCGCACTCGACCGTAATAGCCAGCCGTTAACTTATACGTTGATTATACTTTAATACTTGGTATTATAATTTTCTTAGTATAAGAACGATACGAAAGAAATTAAAAAGACTGGACATTCATTGAATCGCTTTTTCCTTCATGATATATGATGATATCTGATTGTCTGTATGATCGTTTTTAATTTTAATTCGGAAAAAACACAAACACACGTTGTCCAAGAATAATTATAAATACTTTGCTTAGCTCGGCCAAGTTCGACTTGGTTGACAAATGTGTGTCTGTGGTAGTACATGTAACTTTTCGAGAAATCGTGATTCAGTCTTATTGTTTTCATTGTTAATCGAACGGATCACCAGTCTTCTACAGAAATATCTTAGACTTAAGTTTCTGCTGACTTAGAAAAATTTAATGTACAATATTTCGTTACACTCCAATAAATCCTTATAAATTAGCGACGAAATAACGTAATTATGTATTGTACAAAATGTTAATCTCTCTCTCTCTCGATGGATTCGAGTAAAGGAATATTTATAATCAAACGTCATGATAATAAAGAAAGTCGTATATTCCTTGGAGATTCCTCTGCCGTTCATTTTTCTTCTTTCGATTTCGATCACGGAAATCGTACGGAAATTATTACGAACAAATCGATCGTTTAAAAATAAATATTGTTTAGTGTTAGATTAGCAGGAAGAGATATGTGGTCGATATCACAAAAGGGATCTCCGATGTTTCAATTCGTCGTATGTCTATGGAAGGGATAGGTATACACGACTATATCACAGTTTACGCGTGATACGCGTGATTTTATGTGTAAATGTATATACGAAGTAAGGACTATTTATTTGCACCCGTATTAATTGTTCTGCAGCAATTGATCTAGTTGTTGTACGATCGCCAATGTAAAGACGACGTAACGACGACGCCACCGCCACCGTCGCTGCGATGTACATTGAAATGTAATTGAAATAATGAACAATGTCCTTGCGAAAAAATCTGATTTTATTATTCCATCCATCATCTCCTTTAAAACATACTCGAGTTACAAGCAACCCGAGTAATTTCCGTCTCTTAAAAATAAATTATTTCTAAAAATAACCGATTCTTACTTCATAAAAATAAAAATGTTAATAAAATGTGTGCGTACGTACACGGCCCAAAGATTATTTGTACACATAAAGGTACGTGGAATAAAATCTTCGACAATGATCAGTTTCGAATGTAATTTACAGAATAAATACCTCTCTGTCATTGTGATCAACGTCGTTCTACTGTCTCATAATTCGGTGGTAAAAGACTGCCGATTAGCTGAAAAGTTTCGGGATGTTTTTCAACTCTCAAGTATAACAAAGTAAAAACATTTATCATCTGAAAAAGAAAACATTAAGCGAATTATATCGGAACATTCCTGCCAGCGAATGCAATTTGTCGTTTCTGGCTCTTTTAGCTTAGAGTACGTCGACTAATTGTCATTACCTGAGTCACAGCGGGTTGCCTCCAAACAATTCTTATCGTCGGGACCGAACATTCCGTAGAATATTCGACGATAGTCGCAAATTCTTTTAGCTGCGCGAAATGTATCCTTAATTTTATACCAACTTCACACAGTATAACGTTCACAAAACTCTCCGTCACTTGTAACACGATACCCATTGTGACAATAGGCCCATTCAAGTCTATGAAATACGTAAAGTATAATTCACTACTTTTCTCTTGAGCCATCTTTGCCCCATACTTTTTCGTATTACAATTGGCCGCTATTCTGTCATAAAAATAAGACACAGCCAAATTGACAGTCTCTCGAATCTTGATATCGAATTTGATTTCTCTAGTTACGACTGACTTACGACTTGCACAGCTTCTCGGACCACGTGTCAGGCAACGTGTCGATATCTCTGATGGTCGAATGAAGTAAACGGTGTACCACACAGTCGGAGTATCGCCTGATCGGAGAAGTGAAATGTGTATAAAGCGAGACATTTAAAGCGTAATGCCTCAATTCCGCTTCCGTTCTCACGGTGGACGAACATCTGTACGTAGCCCGCTAAAGATGCGAACGATCATTAAAATTTGTACAGCACTATTTTTATATTATTATTATTATTATTATTGCACAGGAAGAAGACCGTACTGCCATGGCTTTGGAACAAAGACTATTGATGACCATCATCCTGTACTTCATTGTTTTCATTGTTTCGTCATTTTCAGCTTCTAATTCGATTTGCTCGTATCGTTTAAGGCTGGCGTGCAGAGAGGCGGAGGAATCGATGTCCAAGTGAATACCAAATCTTTGTAGAGTATCTTTCGTTATACCGAGCATATGCTTCGAGGGCTCTTTATGATTGCGTAATAAAGCACTCGATGGAATTGTATTGTACAAATGTGTAGCGACTGTCGTGTTAGCTAGCAGCATAAACTCCTCGATGAGTCTGAGTGATATACAAGATACATGACACAAAAATGTATCTTACAATTTCGATGGCATGACACACCGCACCGAGATAATTTGTTTGTGAACACGTCAAATACCTGTTACTATCTCTTTGCTCCTCTATACTATACGACACTGGTAAGCCTGTGATTCTATCAACGCTGATACACAATTTTGGTTGATTTATGTGCAACGCTCCATTTTCGAATCGTTTACTGCGCATTTGCACAGCCAAATTATGTAGACGATTTACTCTCGTCGACAAATGTTCAACGGTGAAGTCACCACCACTTATAATCAGAGGATGATCCAACGAATTATCTTCTGGATTTTCAATAAATTTCTGGGCATCTTCATAAGCCATTTGACAACAAGATTTTATTACGGTTTTTGCGAAACGGTGTTTGACAATTTCTGCGCCTGGAGTTATTTCCCAAATCACAGAAAAAGCCAATTTATCTTGGCCAGGTGTCAACGAACATACTTGACACAATTGTTTCGGTAACATGTGGTATACGTTGTCTGTGGTGTATACGGTCGTTGCTCGCTTTGAGATCTGAACATCTAACGGAGATAAAAATTCCAAATAGTGAGTTACATCCGATATATGTACCCCGATCTATAATGAAACAAAAATGCATGTATAAATGTATAACGTAACGTAAGTAGACGCGCGAGTGAAAACAATTTTATTGAGTAGAAATAAGATTACTTCGTAATTCTTGTTTTCTAAAATTCTGCAAGAAATCGCATCGTCCAAATCCACAGCGGTCTTTGGGTCGATCGTGAACACGCATTCGCTCCTCCAATCCTCCCTATCTGTCAGATCATCTTCTGTCAAGGAATGATCGCTATTTGGGAGACCTCTTATCACCTTTGGATCGTAAGGTTTTACGTCTAAATCGTGTTCAAGTAATATCGCGTCCGACTCTGCTTTTATGTCGCCGATACTTCCGACTATCTGTTCAATTTTCCTGCGAGCAGATTTACACGCGCTGATGACCACGACGAATTTTGTTTGAAATTCTTTTACGGTATTCTTTGCAGTTTCCTACGATTTCTACGAAGAACAACGTTTAACATACCCAACTGCGAACTGAGGATTCGTCCAATCCGTTATGACTACTAAATACAGCATGTTCTCGCAGTTACTCGGACGGATGGCGAACTGCTCTAAAGACTGCTTAGTTATTCTGACCAATGGTACACGATGATCTCTGGGATACAAGAACGTCGACGTACCACCGCGCTGTTTAATATGTCCGACTGTTTTTCTCGGATGTACTTTCTCTTTTATACAAACTACCACACCTGTTTTTTGCACCTGTCCTTGACAAGTCTTCCATTTGTCCGTGGGATTCACACGAGCTACAACGTGATCACCGTCGAACGATCTATTTCTATCCCTCAGTCCCACGATCAGCAAATCAAATTCATCATCCCCCAATGATATATAGGCAAACTTATGATTCCAGGGATTGACGCGTAAATATCCCTCTACGTATTGTGCATCGATGGAATTTTCATTTCTTATAAATTCATCGATTTCTCTCACAGGGATGAGTTTCGGGAACGTCTCTCTGATCTTTCTCTGTACAGATTCCTCGACTTCACGTTCTTTTACAGCTGCTGCTACTATTACTTCTTCCTCTTCTTCGTCCTCCTCTCCTACGCTCGCTTCTCTGCTCGAAGAACCTTTCTTCAATTTGCTTTTCTTGTTGTTTCCCTTTCTTTTGCGTCGTACACGCTCGTTCACGAACTCATCAATGATCAACGCTTGGACATCGTTCGTAAGATTAGCTACATCTTTACCACGTTCTACGATATCTTTGATATTATTAATTGGCGCATTATTTTTCTCCTTTTGTCGACAACATTTTTTGTCAACCCCGAATTTAATTGAGCAGTTCTTTAAGCTCCGTGGTTTGTCCACAGCAGTTCCCTTTTCATAGTAACATTGGACCGCCGTCGCCACCGTTTCACATTTGTTCTTCTTAACTTTGCGGGCAACTTTCTTGTTGTTGACAGATGCCGAATGATTTTGCGTACCGAAATCGGAAGACGTCGATTCCTTCGACATGACGTCGACGTGGATCGTTCGTTACCCAGTCAAATCGAGATTAACGGCGTTACGAATTTATCGTATGACATTGAATCTTCGACGATTGGACGATGTAACTGAACGAGTCAGAGGAATTATCCCTTTTCTTTGTACTATACAGAAACAGGATCGACAGAAACAGGATTGTTATACTTGAAGACGAACGACACACTCTGCTATTTTCAAAGATAAGATGCCGAAGATAAGATTCCGATATCGAGAGAGCAACATTATTTTTAAAGACATGTGTTGCACTTAACTCTCTCAACGACAGATTCGAAACTTAAAAAAAATATAAATCTCAGCTTGAAGTTGAACTAGTAGCGTCACCGCGGTTTGCTTGATGCTGCAGATGCTGATCGTTCCACCAGGTAATATTTGCATGAATATTTGACAACATTTTACAGCGATACATGTTTCACTGTAAGAAATTCACCGTTGCTCCTAGGTTCAACACGATCATCATATTCTCGTCGATAATTTATAGTCACTTCTCCAAATTTTATTATATCATCTTACTTGTACATATTTGTAGTAGAGGCATACCGAAACTCTTGTTTACTGTAGTAAAGCACGAAGTGCAAATATTCGTGCGAAATGCTAATTGCTAATGGCCGCGCGCGACACGGCGCGTTAAGAAACCATTGAGAAGCTGTGTGAAGCTGTGCGTTGTCTGGGCTGAATTCATTACCAATGCAACAGACGGCTATCAACTACAGTTACTTCACGTCTTCTACATTGGCTGACATTAGTCGCATTCATTCGATTCGATAATCGATAATCGAAATACTTAAGGGAAGAGAAGCTGCGGACTGCCGGTCTTGGAGGGAGTAAGGCGGTATAGGAAGGAGTAGGTAATTCCAGCTGTGGTGCCCGTCCGCCGTCTGCCCGTAGTAGTGGTTGCCGTCTGTCGTTGTTGGTGTTGGCCGTTATTGGCAGTTGCGAATGTGCTGAAGATCGGTAAAGGCGTCCAAGTTGTTTCGATCGGGCGTTAGCAGCAGTAGCAGGCAGTCGGTAGCAGCTCAACAGCTTTGCGTCTTCGTCGGAAGTAAAGCAGAAGGCAGAAGTGTGCAAATACGTAGAGCATCGTGTGTGTGAGATACCTTCTCATAATTGGCAAAAAACGGTCAGTGTTTCGAAAATGTTTCACGTGAGGAGTCTGACAAAATCGTCGATCGCTTTAAAACAAGCACCACCCGGTGGTAACGATATAATTCATAATGCCTTGCGTATTGTGTCGACGTTTCAAACGCGCGGTTACGCCGATCATCAGATACCGGACCGACTGAAAAATATGCCCGACGACCCAAAGCCAAAATTCTTCGACATGGTCGAGTATTTCTTTCACCGAGCTTGTCAGATAGTCGAGGACAAGTTGGTCGAAGATATCGGGAAACGCTCCAGGATGAGCGTGGAAGAAAAGAAGAAGAAAGTGAAAGGTATCCTGAAGTTGATGGAGCCGTGCGACCATATCCTTGAGACCACCTTCCCCCTTAGACGAGATTCGGGCGACTACGAAATGATAACTGGCTATCGCGCTCAACATTCGACTCATAGAATACCGTGCAAAGGAGGTAAATAATGAGAAATATATTCGTTCACAACTCCCCTGTGTATCGTTGTAACAGCAATCAATTTATTTAGTAATAATCATGTGACCGTAACAATAAGTATAGATTCTGACAGACGAGAGACGAGCTATGACGCTCCGTGAATTAATTTTTTCTCCCACTACTATGCGTGAATGCCAAACGAGCATTTCCAAATTAATTACGTCATCGTCGTCGTGATGGCACGTGACGAACGCGAAGAATTTCCGACAGATCTTCTCCGGATTTTTCTCATCTCGTTGGTCAAGTTATTTTTATTCATCTTACCACCAGCTATTTGCTTTAATTCAATATGCTGCCCCAGCAGACCATGGGTATTACTTTTAAGTATTCGTTCTACGGTATACGAGGTATCAGGCGACTTGTGTGACACTTTCGACGACTTTACGGCTTCCTTCGTACGTACGGAGATAGGACGAACTGATGGTTTTGGCCTCGTTCTAGATCACTGAAGATATTCTCTATTCAAAGACGAGCAATAATTCAAATGCAAAACAACGATAACACTTTTCATTACCGCAGTTTACCTATTACAATTACACACTTAGCTATCGCTCGCGAGGGTCGCGTTCTCGCGTTACGCGGAATTAAATTGTTGGTGCCGATGTGATAACACGATGCTTTGGATTATGTGCCTGAGACCGGCCTACATGGAATCAATTGAATTTTCTGTGGAAGAAACCAGAGACGAACCGCGAAAGTGTGTTGTAGGTACATGGGAAAACGGCGAACGCCGTGGTATGTACACCGGATAAACTAACTGACAATGAGTCACAGCGTCGCGCATGATTCATTGAGAAATATATTCAGAACATGTATATCGAAACGTCTCCTTGATATAAATTTGTACCCGAGCTCACGTGCGAAACGTAACAGCGTCCCGTGACGCGGATATTTTCCGAGAGCCAAACGAGAGCAAACAGCGATCAGCTGTTGCTGTTGCCCATAGCTATTATCCTTCCACCTTCCGCATCACACACTTCTTTCCGAGTTTACTTTTCCTGGTGACGTAATTGCAGTCACGTTCCCGACGACTTCGCGTTCTAATTGTGAAAAACAGCGAACGTTCGCGTCTGCCGTGGTCTCTGGTTGGACGTCGATGATTTCTCGTTGATGCCAAGCTGTCTGGTATCTTTTTCTTTTGGCCCTTGCCAAACGTTAGCTAACTACCTTGAATCGATGACGTTTAAATACCTAGTTATCTGGCAATCGAAAGTATCGTGTGCCTGTGTCATGATGATAAACTACATAGAAAGGTCGATGCTCTCCTGTACGAATTGGACCAATGTTCCTTGACCAAAAACAATCAGTATTTAGGTTCTCCGAAAGCGTCGAACGTTCGCATGCGTGCCTCACGTGTCCAGCTTCCAGATGTTACTCTTAAGAATTGTTAAAATCAATGACGGGACCGTGTGTAACCAGGCAGCACATCCTCGAACGACCAGCAACGACCATCGTCGTGCCTAAACTATTTTCGAACATGTTTGCGTAACACGTATTAACGGCGATGGATTCCGTGGAGAACGAACGGATTTTTATTTTCAATTCTCGAATGAAAAGCGAAATCACAACGCTACGTATCCGTGTACACAGTTGTATTATTAGATAGTTATTTGCCTAACTGTTGCTTTCAACGTTCGTATCGATCGTTGGAGCTCTTTCTACTGCGACCGTTAAGACCTGGTGGTAAAAACGATCCGGTTGCAGGCGCGTAGTAGTACTCGGCGCGTTACTTATCATTCGCTTTTAGATTCTTCCTTTTTCTTTTACCTAATCAGAGTTCACGACCATACACATATCTGCACACACACATAGATGCATGTACATATATGTACGGTACATGTTTGCAATTATTGTTTTGCACCGATTGTCTCATAGGTATACGTTATTCGATGGACGTTTCGAGGGACGAGGTGAAGGCTTTATCGGCGCTGATGACTTTCAAGTGTGCCTGTGTAGACGTCCCCTTCGGCGGGGCTAAAGCTGGTGTTAAGATCAATCCGAAGGAGTATTCGGAAAACGAGCTTGAAAAAATTACCAGGCGGTTCACGCTGGAATTGGCTAAGAAGGGATTTATCGGTAAGATATTTTAAATGGATTTTTCCCTAGTTGGAAGATAAGGAAGTGGAAAAAAAAATGTGCAGCGCATGCATTCATTTCCTCTGAATAACTGATAAATTTTTTATCTCGTCGACGATGTTACATAAATACGACATGTGTTTTCCACGTTATACCGGGCAAAGCAAATAAGTAATAATCGATCAGGAAGCATTTCATCGACGCGTGCACATGCAAGTTCTCAGACGTCTAGTCGAGCGTAGAAGAATTGATTTGACACTTCGTTGTATAAGGGCCGGGTCTCGATGTACCGGCTCCTGACATGGGAACCGGGGAACGTGAAATGTCCTGGATTGCCGACACGTACGCCAAGACCATAGGCCATTTGGACATCAACGCTCACGCCTGCGTCACCGGCAAGCCTATCAATCAAGGTGGAATTCACGGACGTATTTCGGCGACTGGTCGTGGTTTGTTTCACGGACTGGAAAATTTTATCAACGAAGCCAATTACATGCAGATGATCGGTACGAAATGATTGTAATGCGGTGATACTTGCTGCTTTCTGTACAACGTCTTCGTCGACCGCCTTTGACCGTTGTCTCGTTAATATTAGGCACCACGCCCGGCTGGAAAGGGAAGACGTTCATCCTACAAGGTTTCGGTAACGTCGGCCTGCATTCGATGCGTTACCTCCATCGCGCCGGCGCTCGTTGCATAGGATTAATAGAACACGATGGCTCAATCTTCAATCCCGAAGGGATCGATCCAAAAGTAAGCGTGCCTACGTGTAAAATTCATTCTGTATCACTGACTCGAGAGTAATTAATACGATTTACATCGCGCGCAGAAACTAGAGGATTACCGCATAGAGAATGGAACTGTCGTGGGTTTCCCTGGTGCTAAACCGTTCGAAGGTGAACTTATGTACGAACCTTGCGATATATTTATACCCGCCGCCGTAGAGCAAGTTATCACTAAGGAAAATGCCTCTAAGATCAAGGTAAACAACGATCCCGTAGTACAGTGTTCATCATCCTCCTCCGTCTATTCGTCAATGGGAATAATGGCGTTAAATACGATTTCTTCCTTCAGGCAAAAATCATAGCTGAAGCTGCCAACGGTCCCACCACTCCAGCTGCCGATAAAATTCTGATAGAGAAAAATATTTTAGTCATACCAGATTTGTATATCAACGCCGGCGGTGTCACAGTTTCCTTTTTCGAGTGGTTAAAGAACTTGAACCACGTGTCGTACGGTCGTTTAACGTTCAAGTACGAGAGAGAATCTAATTATCACTTATTACGTATGTACTTCCACTGTTACTTCCGTTTGCGTCGTCAAAGAAGAGATAAAAGAATCAAATTTAGTCTGATTCGATCGCCTTCGTTACAGAGTCCGTACAAGAATCGTTGGAACGCAGGTTGGGTTGCGAGGGCGGCCCGATTCCCGTGACACCCTCCGAAGCGTTTCAAAAACGTATTTCTGGTGCATCTGAGAAGGACATCGTCCATTCCGGATTGGACTATACCATGGAGAGATCCGCAAGGGTAATTTACCATTTCGTCGACGACGTTCGACAAAATTTCTCGTTTCATACGGGGCTCCGTTCTGGAAAATCCTTGTAAAATTTGTTTCTCTGCAGGCTATCATGAAGACAGCCATGCAGTTCAATCTAGGTCTCGACCTGAGGACAGCGGCGTACGCCAACTCGATCGAGAAAATATTTACCACTTATTCCGAGGCGGGTCTCGCGTTTTAACTCTCAAGTACTTACGGACGCAAAAATAAATTCATGATTAGAACTGCGAAGAGTCAGTATTTTGAAAACTGTCTTCACGATTTCTCGAACCACCTCGTACTACCCAGGTGGTAGGTGTATCATGGTGACAGAAACCAAATTTAGTAACTAAAATTTAAGTATTCCGTTTCATATCGCCACATGACAGCAGCTGTTCTTTCGAACACGTTATAATACATACATAATTTGCCCGACCAACACGAGTGACGCCTCCCCCGAATCACACTCGTGTCGCCTTAGTATATTTGTATGATACAGAGCGGTCGGCGATCAGCCAAGTAGCCAAGTAGCAGATTTTGGACGAATCGTTCGGAATAGCGTACACGTGTTCCTTTGTCAACGTCGATTTTGTAAAACTCCGGCCGAGATTGGCCGACATAAGGGTGCATTTTTATATTCTCCAAGTCTGTGTGTATCTTCGCATCGATAAAGGGGGCGTGTAAGTACGCGATATTCAGCACGCGCCGAAACGAAAACCAGCAATGGGCGGAAACAATCACTTGTAAAATCCAATGATTTCCGTCATCTCGCCATGGAAGCCATTTTAAATCGACACTCGTTTCTAATCGAAACGACACGTTATGTATCATACAATAATATTGTTATACCTTTCAGAAGTATGTGAATAAATAACAAAACGAATATGATTTAAAGTCATTCTTTGAAAACCGGTTCCACCTTAAATTATCGTCGCGCGAGGGTGTTCTCGTAGTTTCAACAACGGAGAAGCATAGCAGCGAATCGAGTCTGTTCGATTTGCGTTCAACTCGTCAAGAACCTTTTTATTCTCACGCTTTACATTAGCTGACCTTGGCTGTTAAAAGCGGTAAGTATAAGCATACGTGTCTTCTTTGTTCCATCGTTACGTACCACCGCGCGATAATTGACATTGAAGTAAGTTGAAAATCTTCCTCGAAAATCTATAATGCTCACAAAGAGATTCAAGCATACACGCGTATTATGATGATCAAATACATTTTCTTTCGTTCATTCCCGTTGCCCGTAAACTTTACGCACGTGCATATGGAACGTTCACAAATTATTCCAATGTCCATTACTGAGGATGTAAAAGACGAATAAATTCAGCTGGTAGCGTCACACTATCGATATTTCGGTATATTATTAATGTTCGTAACGCTCGAGTTACGCTCCTCGACGAATCAACCGCCTGCCGCCTGACTATGTGCTATTCCTATATACTACTCGAGTCAGAGTCAGGGTGAGGGTGGTGACCATCCCTGTAGTATGTACGTATAAAGCGAACTGGCCCCGCGACGCTGCTTTCATTTCTCTAGTCAGTTGTTTCAACGACCGTCGAAACGAACGACGCGAGGTGAATACGTGATTCTTTGTTAGATGTATGATCTTACGATAATGATATCGCATGCGATCTCTCTCGATTACACATCACGTTAAGAACTGTTCGATTCTCAGAGAATGTTACACGTTCTTTCTAAGTTAAGTTGCGCTTCGCTCTGAGTGGCTTAGTGCAACAGTGTATCGCTGTTGTTCTTCTTTATAGTATAGAATCATTTATAAAACTCTATTTTATTTTAATTAATCTTTGATCAATTGTTCGATACGTTGTACATAGATGTACGATCGGTACGCACTCGCACAAGCAGAAATCACGTTTCTTTATACACGATGCTCACAAATTTTAGGTGGCGAAATTCGAATCGCGTGTCAATCCGACTGACATGTCCATCCCCATGACGACTATGAGCAATGGGAATGGATCGACGATACAAATCAATACGCGACCAGATGATATTATACAGAATCGCATCGTTGGCGGTAAGTTGCAGCAACAATTTGAAAAATACAGATTTGCCTTCGGCCACACCGCGGTACGTGTCTTTCGCAAATTCGGAGAAATCGACGCTAGTCGCATAACGACCAAACAATTGGGCCACGCGACATGAAAAGTTAATGAACTGTAAGGAAGGTGAAATATTTCTTTACACTCCGTATAACAGTTCCGTATGATGAATCTTCATATGAAAGACAGTTGAACATTCCACGATGTTCCTCCCAGTCTCACTCCTCTTTTCGCTCCAATTTTTCGAACAGCCGTCAGGTAGAAACAAGCGGGCGGCGGGGGGATGGTAATTCTACTTGTAAAGATAAATCGAAACGAGGAAATAACATTTTTTGTTCGCTCGAGACTGAATCCGCTCCAGATACGCGATTCGGAACGGAATTATTCTTAAGGATGTATTGGCTATACAGTGAATCCCAAAAGTTTATGCACTCTAGAAACGCATTTTTTAAAAAGAAATCAGACGTCGGAAGAACATTGCTAATAAAGAAACAACAAAAAAAAATTTTCGATTTTTCCGAGATTTTTCCAAGGGGTTCCCCTTCAATTTCTGCGAAATTTTCGTTTTTGGCCAATAACTCCCAAACCGTTGGACATACGGAAAAATTGCATATGACCTTTCTTATAGAGGACGACGAGATCTACAATTTCTATATAAAATTTTTTCGCTAGCGTCAATAGTTTACGAGTAATATGCAAAAAACTGTTTTTTCGTTTTTCGTCAATAACTCGTTAAATATTAATGCTAGCGAAAAAATTTTATACAGAAATTGTAGATCTCGTCATCCTCTATAAGAAAGGTCATATGCAATTTTTCCATAGATTCAACGGTTTAGGAGTAATTAAGGAAAAATGAAAGTTTTTGCCAAAAGTTGGTCGTTTCGACGCTGGGATGGTCGGATTTTGTCAATATCAATAAAATGCCAAATAATCATACGTAACTCGTTAAATATCGAAATTAGAAGAAAAACAACTTTTATTTGAAGCATTTTTCGAAATTTTGAAGAACAAAAATTTTTCGTCAGCGTCAATACTTAATTGGATATTTCCTTCTATACTTTTTAGCACGCAGCTATTTATTATTAGCATTATTCTTCGGACGTCTGATTTCTTTTTAATTATAGGAAATGCGTTTTTCTAAGGTACATAAACTTTTGGCCATATAGTCTATACATCCTCAAAACACAGGATCAGTGCGCTCGTTGCTCGATATAAACCTACCCGATTTGCTGTTGACTAGCATTAACCTTGTACATCAAGAATTCCAATGGTCGTCTATAAACGCGTGTAGAGTGTCGTTTCTAAGAATAAATCGATAGAAATATCCCGAGCGTAAATGCGGCCTTCGGTATTCCGCGTATGTAGGCTGATAATTGCAGGAAGCTAATCGAGTACTACGTCTTGGCCGTTGATCAAAAAACGAAAAGAACGATCGGTATTTTATCATCGAGCTGGGAAAGATGAGATTCGATGACACGAACGACCGAACGTCCGAAGAGGGACCGAAGGGTCGCGGGGGGTGAACGACGGTTCGTTGTGAAAGGGTGGGTGCGCTTCGCGCATGCCAGCGCGCGGTATGAGGGAGAACGAAGGAGCAGTTAACGAGAAGAGAGGAGAGGAGAGAAGCATCTGCACCTGAAAGAACGAGACTTCCACGGGTGGGTGCGGTGGTCGAACGTAGGCTCGCCGGGCAACTCCTAGTGAACCGTGATCGTGTGACGCGAGTAAGCACAATTTTGGTCGATCCCTCTGAAAGTCAGGCTACACCACACCACCTCCTCCTCCTCCTCCTCCTCCTCTGTTTATCCCGAGTTCAAAGACTTCGTGAACCCAAAGGATTCGGAATTATGCCCGATATGACGGCGGCCGGTAAGGAACCGCGCCACTCGTGTAATTCGCATGACTTTTCTTTTTTTCCACATACAAGAATGGTCATAAATTAACCATGTCATCATGAATTGGAATCTGACAAACATTCCTTCGACGTACAACGATTCGAAAGAAATGAATCGATCGCATCGTTCCGCTTCGTTCGACCTTGAGCAAGAATTATCATGAGCGTACGTAGTGTAACGTGGACGAGCATCGGTCGTATGAAATTATAATTTTCTGAATGTAGGTCGTATACACAATACGTGTATATCGACCTGCGCGCGATTACACCAAAGGCATTCGTAGGATCAATGAGAAAACTGATACACACACTCACGTGTTTGTATTTCGCTGTGAGAGCCTCTTCCTCATGTATGTTCACTATGTTCCAGTGGAAGAAAACACCCAAGAGGCATCTAACACTTGCAAAAATGTTCTTGTGATATTGTCATGGGTCATCATGATTTTGACGATGCCCTTTTCCCTGCTCGTTTGCTTCAAGGTAAGACGACGACGAGTGAATCGTTTTTTCGCAAGTACGTTTCTTCTCGCTATCGCATCGCTTCGTTTCGAAGCTTTCAACGAGACCGTTCGTAAAAAAGGGCAAGCACGCTCTCTCATTCATCCTTCGCGCTTAAACGCTGAAAGAAAGGAATCGGGCCGATTGACGACGCGGTGGTTACAATTTGTTTTTTCAAATTAATTAGGTCGTCCAAGAGTACGAGAGAGCGGTGATTTTCCGTTTGGGACGACTTCTGTCTGGCGGGGCCAAGGGACCCGGTAAGGATACGATCGGATCGAATTCGTTGTTTAAATCGACAGCATCTATTGATTCAGATGATCGTTCGTAGGTATGTTTTTCATTCTACCTTGCGTGGACAACTACGCCCGAGTCGATCTACGAACGCGAACTTACGACGTACCGCCTCAAGAGGTAGAGATCGACACGACTCCCGGTGTACTTATTGGTAGACTGCAGATTTGATGCTCGACTGACGATCCGACCTTGATCAGCAGTCTACTACCTCTGTCGTTTAGATTAGGGGGGGAAAAACTGAAAATCTTCTTTGTTAAAATCAGGTATTGACCAAAGACAGTGTGACGGTGTCCGTAGACGCAGTCGTGTATTACCGTGTAAACAACGCAACGATCTCGATCACGAACGTCGAGAATGCTCACCACAGTACAAAGCTGCTGGCTCAAACTACGCTGCGAAACACGATGGGCACGAGACCGCTCCACGAGATCCTCAGCGAACGCGAAACCATCTCCGGGAACATGCAGGTAAGTAAAAATCGTATTGCAATCGGACGATGTGCCGGTCTGAACAGGATGAACGTTTGTCAACAATAAAACTGAACGTCAGGTCGCTCTGGACGAAGCCACTGACGCGTGGGGGATCAAAGTGGAACGCGTCGAGATGTGAGTAAAACAGTGAAAAAATGATGCAACGCGGCCGCCTGCTCGAGTCCCGTTTGTTAATACTTTTCTGTTACGACGTTCCCGCAGAAAGGACGTACGACTACCGGTTCAGTTGCAGAGAGCTATGGCCGCGGAAGCCGAAGCTGCTCGCGAAGCCCGCGCCAAGGTTCGCTTTTTCTCTCCGATACGATTAACGATAATGATAAAGATAAGATAAAGGATCGTCGAAGAACTATCGGTAATTCTCGGCTCGAATCGAATTGTTAACAGGTGATCGCAGCGGAGGGCGAGCAAAAAGCTAGTCGCGCACTAAGAGAAGCTTCGGAAGTGATCGGCGACTCACCCGCCGCGTTACAACTTCGCTACTTACAAGTACGCATCGATGATTGTAATGAGCAATTTGCCATAATTTCTCGATTTCAATCGTCTCCTCTCATTTACTCTCTTTTATCGCTTCCAGACGTTGAACACTATCTCATCAGAGAAGAATTCGACGATCGTATTCCCTCTGCCTATCGATATGCTGACGTATTTCATGAAAGCGTCCGCGAAAGACTAATATTTTTCACCCTGTCCTACCTACTTGCTAAAGCACAAATTAACATCACTTCCATCTGAATCATCGTCCGCGTCGTGTCATGCCGGATAAAGGGTTAAACGTCCCTTCCACCGCGTAAAGAAATACTGTATACATATGTGTACACGTTACGTTTACGCTACTGTAACGTTGCAAAATGTTGAGCGCAGCAGCAGCAGCAGCAGCAGCATGGGACGTTCTTTCTTTCTTCTTTTCTTTCGATCACGTACGATACATTGAACAAAGGCGATCTCGCGCCGTTCATCGCACCGGACAAAATGTTTTGCACTACTTCACCACTATGCAGTATACTGTGTATCGCGTATATCTGTTTTGTACTTTTGACAGTTTTATTCACAAGTTCGTAACTTATGTGATCATTCGATTGAACAATTTATTATGATAACGATGATAACGATGATGTCGGGCACAAGAAAATATAATAGTCGATTCGTGGTTTTGACGTGTGTTGCGAACGATTACTGTTACGCGTGGCGATGAAAAGAGCGGTTCAAACTCGAGACTAAAGCTATACTGTATTATTGCACACGAGTATTTGTGATGTGACGACTACTGTGAATTTACGTGTTTGGTTTCGTGAAAATTTGCTTAACTATCGATATTAACGCGTCGATCATTTTAAACGTGCGTGAATAAAAGTTGAGAAATTGTACGTATTTCATAGTTCTTTACCTTGGAATCATCTTAACTTCGTTGTACAAGGTTGTTGTATGTAATTGAGGCAGAAACCCCTGTTCCCGACGTCGTTCGGCGCCTCGACGCTGTCCGTGTGAAAAATCAATCTGAACGGCTTCACGGTACCTAGCGATTTGAAACCGAACCCGTCGTTATACGACCTCGTTCGACGACGAACAAGACTAGGAAAACGACCAACGTGAGTCAGGTATACTTACTCATTACGGAAGACGCGTTGAGATTTTGACTCTCCGCGTTGAACGTTCCGCCGCATAACCGATCGACGCAAGACATCGTCGCGGTCGGGGATCTACCCACGTTTGATGCGCACGGGATCGTTAACCAGTCAGTTTGGCAAGCTGCACCTGTCATCGACGCTATCTGCGTCGACTGCGTGTTTCCCGTCAACGTAAACGCGTTGCTGCGCATCGTTTGTGCCGCTACTGTCCCACCTGTCGTCGCGGCTTCACCTTTCCCCCGATACAAAAATAAATGATTTTTACCTAGTACGCTCTGTCCGCCTGTCGCCCATCGTTTAGCGTTGTTTACCTAGTCTATCATCTACTGGACAGGTGACATATTGTATGCCGCAAAAGTTCCTCTCCGTTCGGACGCAAACGCTGTAATCTTGATTAGACAATTGTAGTCCAGTGACGGGATCGTAATTGAACGACTTTATCTGTCCGGATATTCCTGTGAAATATTGCAGACAACCCTCCTCGGCTCTATATATAGAATCGCAACGAATCTGTGACACTCGTATTTTCCAAGATCGAGCGAAGGAACCGCTCGTAACGAACGTCAGCGTAACGGGATTCGTTTGCCCAAGACCGGCATCGACGTATACTGTGAACACATGTGCATTTGCTGTGAACGCGACGCAACGTGAAAGAATTCGCGTAAATGTTAATAAAACCAGCGACGGCGACGGCGGCGGCGGCAGCGGCGACGACGATGCGTACCGTGGTTCCCGGCGTTGGTCCCGCATATAGCGGGCACAGGGTTGCCTCCGGAAACGATAAACTGATCGTATATACACTGATGATTCGTAGTCTCTGGGCCTCTTATATTAAACTGCACAAAATCGAGTCTGTCGAAAAGATATTGTCGTTTAATCCTAATTAGTTTCAGTCTGTATCGACGAGCAGTAACGCGCGACTCACCTGAACTGACACACGTTCGGATGCGATTTGACCAGTGTCAACTGGCAAGATATGGTACCGTCGTAAGTGGACGGGTACTTCGGATTGACGAAGTAAGTATTATTGTTGACGATCGTTTCGCCGCAGGTCGCAGTCACTGGTGAACGAACAGAAAGGGATGGAGAAACGAAACTCATGAGTTCACGAAGCAAAGGAACGAAGAAAAGACGGACACCTACCGATACAACAAATACCGTAACCATTTGCGCAAATCCCACTGGACGCACCGCCGCGTTGCGAACATTCCGAGGCAGCCACGCACGTGCCATTTTCACCGTTCGACCCGGGGCAAATGTTATTTGGAAATCTGACCAGAGTCAACAGCGGAAACACTAAAAATAAAATTAATGTGATAGCAATTACTTTACTACGCGACAGCGATGCTGACGCGAGACGCGAGTTTCCGGACTTACGTCGCTTCTCTCTGCCAGCAGCAGCATGGTTCGGTCTACCGCCACCGTTTTGCAAGTTAATTGTCTGCGATCTGCTCTTTGGGGGATCGGGTGACTCGACCGACTCGTTTTTACGATGATGAGTTCGCCAAACGTGTCGAAATCTTGGAAACGAACTCCACGCCGCCGCGTCGACATCAATACACATCGCGATCGAGTACAATAGCAACGTGACCAAGTAATATCTCCGCATGATGATGAAAAACAGATAGTTTAACAACGAAAGAATAATCGAGTTTAGGAAGGAGAGCGAGCAACGTGTACGATGACGACGATCGTCGACTAACGAACATCGAGAGCGTTCGAAGACGATATTAAAACCCGGTGTCTATACACGGTCTGAATGTGTTACACGTGTTTAAATTCTGATTCGCGATTAGCTGAGAGAGAAAGTCGGGAAATTTTACAGCCGACGAACTTTTAACATCTGTCCGCCATTGTATTTACTCCTTGAGTCGAAACGAGCTGTTCTTAATGGGCTGTAATTTAATAAATTTGAGCCTTCTCCGCCGTTCGTATCGTTAAATGTGTGATATTCAGAAACTGGTCGTCACACTATCTGATTTTTATCTGAAAATTGTTGTCTCGCGACACGGCAAGTGACTGAACATAATACGACGATGTATGTAGTAGGTATGAAAGGAGAAAGCGATCTTTCCACGTTACTTCTCAAGTGTCACCATGGCCTGTAGGTTCCAAGATATGCACGGCAAACGGGACAGTAATGATCGATGATCTTGCAAGAGTTCATGCAATATGGTATCATGCAGCACGGCCAGCATCTGTAACGAGGATAGTACTCGTAGAATAACGTTCGGTGAAAGCAAGCGAGAATCATGATCGGTACTCGATACCCGCACAAAAAGAGTACGACGACCGCGGCATGGGTGATCAGAGATCGTCGAACTTGTACAGTCGTGATTATAATCGCCGTACATCGAGGACATATTGCAGTGGTAGGTCTGGGGGACCAAAATCTGCTTGCGTTCGCTGCAAGCGAAGCGAGTGTCAGTACAAGTATCGGTATCAGTCGATCGGCAGTCAAGAGCCGAGTATCGCGTTCAGATTTATCTTTGTTACGTGAGACCGAGTACAGGTGATCCATCGAGTAGGTCGCAAGGGATATCCCCTCGGTTTGCGCGTAACTGGGCGGGGGCATCGGGGCAATGACGGAAGATCGATTCGACGACGATCGAAAAGGTCTCCATTGGTCGCGCACCGTCATCGCGCGAGATGCATATATCGTGGAGTAAGTCGGGGGTGCGTCTCTCATGTAAGGACGTGGATCTGGCTATCGCGGATCGCGACAACTTACAACTTCAATTATATCGGACGAAATAATAGATTGTGTTTTACATAGGCGTTCAATACTTCGTCACTGCCGGCATGCACGCATAAACAACTGTTCAACAATCTGACGATGTTCCATCGGCGGCGGCGACGATCTATCCCATGCGCGAACTCATCGTCGCTCGTCGATTCTGCACCCGGCAAGTTCAACGTCGAGTCTAACAGACAAGGAGGCTCGCGCGGATCTCGTACAGGTAAATGCGAACCTCGGCTGGCTTGAAAAAACGTACATTGTAGCTGGACAAATGTTCGTTACCGTGATCGTTGTCGTCCATCGCGGTCGTGAAGAATCGAATAGGTATCGATCGATCGTACCGTTTTGATCGGTCGCGTCTACGAACGTGCTACTACTACGCGCATCCGGTGACGGAGCATCGTAATCGGTGGTCAGGGTCAAAATCTCGCTTCTAGGCTCGCATTTGCCCGATGAATACGACGGGGTGGATACGTGCAAAGTAGAGTCTCCCGATCGCGACCGCGCCAATGGTCGTGCCGCCGCGGCTTCTGGACCGAGCGCGATCAATGCCTGTTCAAATAAATTTACAGATGTCGATCGTCGATGATCTTCGAGAGATTCGTGTTGCTCGTCGCCTGTGTCTACCTACCAGCTGATTCCGAACGAGTGCCGACGAAAAGGACTGTACGTTTTCGCGAGATTCTTCGTTAAAATGGAAAGGTGATGTCGCCGCGTCGATAAGACGTTTATCACGATCACAGCTAACGAGAAACGAAGTCAGAGAAGTCTGAGTGGCGACTGTTGAAGCCTCTCTTCTAGTTTTTCGACCAGACTCAACTTTCGTTGACACGATTAGGTCCGAGGAACGTTCTAAAACGCGTTTTCCGTCGTTATCCGGTACGACTATATAGTTTCCAACTGGCAATAATAGATGTACGTCGTACGTGTCTACTAAAGTGTACCTGTTGCTGCTACTTGAAATACATGAAATCTTCCCGAATTATGATCCACGTTTGGAGCGTCGCGATTACAGGAAACGTCTTCTTCCTCCTCCTCCTCCTCCTCCTCCTCCTCTTCGTCTTCTTCGTCCATTGTCGCTGGTTACGCAGATATTACTATGGGTCGAGTGAAACAGGAATGACTATCGTGAAAGCGGGCAGGGCGGATCAATGGTTTGCGGAGAATATGGGCTTCGTTCGTCTCGAATTGAGAACGTGTTGTTTGCATTCTAATTCAATTCCTGTTCCCGTAGGATGAATGAACGATCAGAGTTCGTCAGTCGAATATCGCGCACACCACCGTTATAGGCATCGTGCTTCCTCGACCGAATTTGAATGGAGCGCTGAAAGCGCGTAAAGATGTCTCTCGAGATCGGAGATTTCTATAGTCGTAACATACGTATACACGCGAAGGGAACAGAGACTTCGGTCGAATTTCGACGCAAATGATAACAGTATGATCGCTTGTCGTCCGTTTCTATCGATGACACGTTCAATTTCGATTCGGTGGTGACTATTAGTTCGGAGTAGGCGTATCTCGAGTGGACTCGAAGTTGTGTGCGAGCGAGTAATCGTGGCTGCCGTCGCACGCGTCGCATGCACGCACGTCGTCGCACTTCGCAGGTCACGGAAAATTGTGGCCAATTGTGGCTGTGGCGCTGCGCTCAGCGTGGTGCGCTGACGCCGACGCCATAGTGTGTGTGCAGAGGCGAGAACAGCCGAAATGGAGGAGAGTCAAACATCGGAAAGTGTCGCCGTGCTACCGGACATGTCCGAACCGTTGACGAGCGAGACCGAGGAGGCGTCTGCCCTAACGACCGAGCACGAGGCGCATCCCGTCGCCGTGACGGCGAGCGTCACCCCCGTGCAGGGTGTTCCTGGCGTTCCAGGAGTCGGAGTGCCGGTTTCTTTACCCGTTGGTTCTATCATCGGTGTAGCGAATTCAAGCAATGGCACGACCTTCAACGTCATCACGTCCGATCAATTGCAGGTGCGTCGAGATTAGAACGACGGGCTCTTTAACTTTCCCCCGTCATGGAGTTCCGTCGCTGAGAACTGGCTCCTGTCGATTCTCTCGTTAACAATTACAGGGACAGAGAGAGAGAGAGAGAGAGAAAAGGTGGGGTAATGCTAATCACGTGCACACAGGCATCGATGCGCATAGCGTACGCGATAACGCGATATTAACGCTCAGGCACTCGTTCACAACGCGCCTGTCCCACATCATCAGTACCAATGATGAATCTCCCGATGTCTCGCTCTCCCATCACGACCGGGCTCTTTCTCTTTTACAGTTGCCCGGCTCTGGACAGTTCAAGCAGATGCTATGTGTCGACAACGGTTTCATTTGTGAACCGCGTCACGACAAAGATTCGGACCCTCTCAGGTGGAATGGGGAATTAAAAGCCACGCATATCGTGATTCAAAATAGCACGGAGGAACCCGAGTCGGAGCAGATTCACGTCTCTACAGCCGCCGCCACCCAACCGATATGCAGTTGGTCGGAATCCGCCAATTTAGCAGTATTACCCGTTAGATGTAAGAATACGAATGCGGAGCTGCATAAAAGTAGATTCGGTTCTGGAGGCAGAGGAAGGTGCATTAAACTAGGACAAGACTGGTACACGCCGAGCGAATTTGAGGCGATCTGCGGGCGAGCCTCGAGCAAAGATTGGAAGCGGAGTATCCGTTTCGGTGGACGAAGTTTACAAACTTTGATCGATGAGCAAATCTTAAAACCGCACGCTACTTCTTGCACTTGCGCCGCTTGTTGCGACGACGATAGCGCGGTTAGTACGTCGCCTTGCTTCGAAATTCTTTTTAAACCGTTTACATCTGTACCCGTAACGTATCCGTGAGTGAACAGTAAAACGTATCACTATATTTCAGACCGGACCTGTAAGATTATTCACACCTTACAAACGTAGAAGAAGGGCCAGGGATACATCCGACGGAGAGACACCGTCGCGCAAACTTAAAAGTGATAATTCACGCGACGGTAGCAATAACGACGAAAGTGACGGTGAAGTCGTTGTACCTGATAAAGAAGTATGGCCTCAGTTCGTTTCCACGGACGGATTGGTCGTCCAACAGCCACAAGATCAAGATGCCACCGTTGTCCAGAATGTACATCAAAACGAGACCGGGCAAAGCGTGGACGAGGTGTTTAAAAAGTTGGATGAAATGTCCAATAAAATGTTGAAACTGGCTTACGAGTTTCGGCGTACTTTAGAGGAAGCTAAGGAAGCGAATAGGCAACAAAGAAGAGAGCAAGCGTTAGTGGCACAGTTAGGAGGCAGAGGGGACGTGATCGATGTTGGACTGCAGCCAGCGTCGGATACTCATAACAAAAAGGTAAATACCGTTTAATGAATAATCGAGTACCTATTTTCTCTACCTATCGTTTACCTTCCGTCCCCTCGCTCTGTTTCAATGTCTGTAGTGTGCCAACTGCAACAGGGAAGCGTTCGCAGAATGTTCCTTATGTAGACGAACTCCTTATTGTTCTACGTTTTGTCAGCGCAAGGATTGGGCGGGACATCAAGTGGAATGTGTAAGAGGTGCTGCGGAAACCGTAATGCTCATAGTGGAGAGCAGCAGTGGCGATACCAGTGCTCTCGCAACGACTGCTGGGGACCAATAGCTAGTGTTCCTTACACCTATTCACCAAAGGAGTATAGAAACTGAACAAATTAACGTAGAAACTTCTAAATCCAAGAAGGAGACAAAGACTTGAAGTCACAATTTTGTTTGTCGGCTAACAGGTCAAAGAGAAACCATATATGTATATAGTTATATATATGTACACGCGATAGTGACGAGCTGACTAGTACGTATCTCGTGCGTATAAAAGGCCGCCTGAATCTGAAGAGTGTACGAATGACTTGAAGGATTCCGCACTGACTTCGCACGCACTTTCTTTCTCTTTCTTTCTTTCTCTCTCTCCCAATCTCAAATGCTTTCTATGCGTCGCTGCTACTTGTAGTATTGGCTATGTATTTTCCATCTATGCATTGGAAGTTAGTCGTTCGGAATCCCTTCAGCCAAGTAAACCAGTTTATTACGAGTAAATTTACATGAAGACTTTTTAAAAATCGCTGTTCGAACGGAAACGTTACAAACGAAAAACATGATAAACCAAATAAGTGTGTGTGTGTAAATAAAACGTTTTAACCGAGTACATACACGGATCTGTTAAACGTCAAGTACTCTATAAAAATAGAAGTGTGTAAATGCACGTGGCACGCGCACTTCCAGATACATGTGTAACACGTACGTATATGTATTATTGTACCACGCATGATAATCCTTCCATAATTTTTTATACAACTCTAAGCGGTAACCAAAGGTGGTGACTACGCTTTTACGGATGTTATTTATGTATTACCGTGTCACTCGTTCTTTAATCATTTGTACAAATCTCATCTTTTTAGATCTTTTTTTTAGTACAAACTCTTACGTTTAAAACGTTTCCTACGTACTGTACTACATACACAGGTATACTCGTGACTTCGAGGTAGACTGTACATATTTTATGTACAACGATTTCATATATCTTTTTATCAGTCTAAACACTAGAAAGAATACTAATCTACTTTGTATACATGTACACAACTCGTTAAAATGATGATGCAAAAATTCTGATCAATGTAAATAAGTGAAGAATGCGATATTCAGCGGAAAATGTATTATTAACTAAGTTAGTATTTTTAATAAATGTTTTCTCAATCAAACTGATCACATGAAAGTGTTTTATTCGTTTTCTCTATAGGCCGTCGCGTGCCAGTGCCTATCGCCTACTTTGGTATGTTATTGTTCCGAAATGAATCGTAGATATCGTAGAAGGTTTGTCTGCTTTTTATGCTCACTAAATTTTTGTTTGTACAATGTTCTCGTAGGCACATACCTTCTCAACGTCTTATTCACTCCCTCTCTTCTATTTCCTAACATGCTCCTCTTCATAGTGAATGAACTGTTTAATTTATACTCGATTATAAGCAGTGACGTACAGAAATAAATAAATAAATCACGCTTTTCTTGCGTATTATCGTTAACCGTAGTTGCCTTCGTTAACCTTACATTCGCACATTCGTACTGCTGCCATACGTACTGTACGTACTCTGCGACTGCGTACTACTGCGCAATGATAAACAAATGCAAATGGCGGACGACCTACAAGCGGAAATTCAAAATTTTGCCGCTCAATTGCGCACAGTATATCTGCTGCACTGTATCTGCTGAACTTCCTATCTATACTGTGGCGATGATGAGTGACTCGTCGCAGTGTTTTATCAATAATATAAAGTTTCCGATTTATGCGCGGACTTACTCATTTTTAGTAATTGTACAACGTTCCTGTGTTGAATGAAATATTCTAGGCGAGATAAATGTAACAAGATTATTTGACAAGAATAATATGGACGTAGATCGCGTTCAAGACGATTCCTATTTGAGAATCGACATACCTAAATTGTTCGAAATTGCTACTTCAAAATCTAAACGAGGCGAGGTACATACAGACGAAACGAGCCGGATGACAGGTAGATATACTATAGATTATAGAATACACATGGTTACACACACATGAATATATGTAGTACATACTACATATGTTTCTACATACGTATGTATTAATACCAATTTGTATAACGAGGAGCAACTTCGGATTTGGATCGGAGCATTGTTCGGCGGCGTCACCTTTCATTTTAATACGCGCACAGATACGTACTCTAACCTTTGTCGCTGAATTTTTATAACATGTAATTCAACTTCGGTCGCCCAAGTTTCTTTTCGACAAATGCATCATCGGTATACCACGCGTAGTAACTAGAGGACGAGAATGTGAACGTCTAGAAAAAATCGTCGCGTCACAGGTTTCATGTACGAAAAATAATTTAACAATGAAACATGTGCTTCAGATTCGTCGGAAGTAGTGGTTGACAAAGTTCAAGATTTGAATCGACCAAAGTTGACGATTGGAATGTTCTTTGAATTCATGAAACTTGCCCATCGAGTCAATGATAATTGTGAAAATTTAATTACGATTCTAACCGATACTGCCGGTAATAAGTTCGATTGGAGCGAACTAGCAAAAATTGATTTGGGCTTCGGCACGCGGAGTTGGAGCCTCGTCCTCGATGAATATCGACGCATCGATGGTAATGTCATGCAGAACGATAAAAACTCGTCGTCGTCGTCAGCGAATGGAGCGGAGAGACCGAATGATCTTCCCGAGACACTCGACATCGATGTTAAAAGATCTGCGTCTTTCGATCAATACGAACATCGAGCAGCAGTACGCTTACGCGGCGATGATTCGATGACCGCTAACGACCGTTTCTTCGAAAGACGCGACCCGCGAGTCGACGAGAGTCCGTCCCGTTCGAACGATCGAACGATGGTCGCGGAAAATTTGTTAATCTCGTTGATGAAAACGAATTTGAGCGACGTATTGCACGAAGGTTTATTCGACTCGGTATTGCCGTACATGATTCCAAAGCCAACCGTGTCACAGCCCGTTATCAAGAAGTCCGTCACCAATTCTGCGGAACTGAAGAAGACCAACTCCTTGAGCGGTAACATCGAAGCCAGAGCAGTTCTCAATGTCACGCATAAGGAGAAGGAGAAAGAGAAAGAGAAGACTAAATCGTGTAGTGTCAAAAGATCGTCCGAGTAAGTATGTACATCGTTGCCCCGCGCGCACGATACGAGTACGTCGCGCAAGTATGGGACGGGGGGGTAGGCTCGACGCCGACTAAGAAAATTACTTAATATAACGGCGACGGTTCCGTTTCGTGGCAGGAACGAAGTAGAAATTCACGTATGCGACGAGGAAAAGAACATGAAGAAGAATTTTCACTGTACTCAAAGACTTCTCGTACAGAAAATGCGTTACTTCGCCGAGGTAACGGCTGGCCAAAAATTGGAGGAAATAGATATATCGGTTCACTGCGACATCGCTATCTTCGATTGGCTGATGAGATGGGTGAAGAAGGACGTTATAAAAAAATCGGAGTGGCCGATTCTCGAGACTACGAACGTTATTCCGATAATGGTGTCGGCGTCGTTTTTGCAAATGGAACCGCTTCTGGAAAATTGCCTGCAATATTGCCGGGATAACATGTCTGAAATATTGAGATCGTCCACCGTTCTAAGCGGTTTGGACGATAATCTATTGACAAGGCATCGTTTTACTAGCCGATAGCTCGTAGTAGTAGTAGTAGTAGAAGTAGTAGTAGCAGTACTAGTAGTAGTGGTGGTGGGTGGTAGTAGCAGCAAAATACCGACTAACGCGTCGCGTAATACATTAATAACGTCGAATCTCTGGACGACAATTAATTTCAGATTGATGGAACAGTTTACGAACGAGGATGTGGAAATGTTGAAAGACAAGAAGGATAAGATCCAGAGTAAGCTGTTTTGCAAATTGATCGCGTCTCTCGCCGAAGTGATGCCGGACAATAAAAAGGGCCACTACGGTTCTCTGGCTACCTTGTTCAAGTGCAGCAAATGCGGCAAGAATATTGTACAATCGGTATCCAGTCGCGTACCCTGTGTCTCGACCGCGATGAAAATCGACAGTTACGGAAACGTTCACAGTAAACATATCAGGTATAATCCCGAAGGTAGACGATCGGAAGTATGTAGTTTACGCGTGGTACATACCATCGGTTATGCGAGGAGAGAAAATGTAAGTCGGTCGCACGTGTTTAGAGACTTGACGTGGACTTTGAACGATTACATCGTCACTCTGCGGACGGAGTCGCGTTCGTGGCGGAAAGTCTATTGGAGATTGTGGGGCGATTGCCACTTTTTATTCTGCACGCGATGCAACACGTATTTTCCGATCCACCAATTCGACTGGTGCTGTTATCACGCGGAACTACCACAATTCTTTCTCAACGAACGACAGCGACCTACGCCGTTTCCTCTAGGCAGATACCCGTGCTGCAGTCAACGAGCGTACAAGTTTCAAGTATTACTGCCGAATCGCGAAGGTTGCAGGTACAGGGTATGGTTGTTTCCGGATTCATTTCCACCATCATTCATTGTTTTCTTCTTCTTTTCTTCTGTTTTTCCCATCCGTTCTCTCTCCCTCTCGCAGTCTGTTCGTCTCGTTAGATTTTCTTCTCTTCTCTCCAGGGGCACGTTCCAGACATTCGGACGCAAAAGGATATAAGCGTATTGAACATCTTTATCGCGAACAGAGACACGATAGCTGTGGAACCGCCACAGTTGTTCTTTCCAGAAAAGATCACGAGATTAGTGGCTCGCGATCCGTTGCTTCAGCCAGGGAAATTAATTTGCAAAGACGCGATGTGGTGGATTGGGATAGAACTTAGCCCGCAACGACCAAAACTTGGACTTTTAGGTACGTATTACTCCTACGTACGTACGTTCATACCACATACAGGTGTTTCGTGGATTTATTGTTCCATTCGCTCTATTCGTTCGAACGTCGTTGAAGGAAAGATTTGGAGCGAGTCAGGGTTTCGGCGTTTGTGTCAACTTCAAGATTATTTCCAAAGATCATCGCACAGAATTTGTCAACAACAACAACAGCAACAAGTTTCCATCGCTACTGATACTTCATCGATCGCGTCTTCGACGGACAGTGACGCGGAGGATGGTATCACAACTTGTTGCGAGAACAGTAGTAGCGGCGAGGAATCGAATCATAGCGAAGAGTCCCACGTGTGGTCGCCTTCGTTGAAATCGAGAAGTAAACCGAAGAAATGTCCGAAAGGTCGATCTACGTGGAGGTACGCATCGTTTTGTGAATCGTCGCCTAGTCGTTGCTGTGTCCCGAAACGACGATTCACACCACACCGACACCTCCGATTCGCAATTTTAGAAATTCCGGTCGATCTTGGAGCAGTAATTTGAACGTGAGACATAATCAAGATAATCAGAGGGACTTTGAAGAGAGCGCGGCGTTACAAATGACAGCGTTATTGACGGAGAGAGTGTCCGCAGATTTTTCCGTATTATCGAAATCGCCCAATAAACATGGTCGAACGAAGAAAAATTTAAACGGTACGTGAGTATCGATAAACGAGTTATCATCACCGCGATTGATTTTCGCGTCGTTCTTTTTCTGTATGTAATTAGGTGGAACTTACGCACGGTTGGAAGCGGAACTCCGCGATCAGCTAAATCATCCGTCCTACAAAAATAAATCGACCGCTGGAAAGTACCTTGTCCGTGCTAGAGAGAAATCAAACAAACCGTAACAGTGTGTGAATAAAACGCGCGACGTACGACAACGATTCTCGTCGAATGATTGTTTTAATTCCTATTAATTGTCGTTCCCGAATTTCCGGAATACTTGCGATTTCGTCATATGTACATGGGATTTCGGGTCTCGATGATATCACGCATCATATATAATGTGACATTACAATAACAATAGTAGAGAGTATAGTGATGATACATACATTCGATATGGATGTTGGCCCAGCTAGTAAAACAAGCCTTACGGTAAGAGCAATTAATATATGTACAAAATTATACTAATCGACTAAAAATAAAACCTTTTAAACGCGCAAATACGCGTAAAATTTCCATAAAGTAAGTATATTGCGCAGAATTACTTCATCACTAATTCACTAAACGCGTGAGTGTCAAGGGTAGAGTCGAGAGCTATTTTGAATTTTTGAGAAGTTTTTCGTTTTTCGGATCGTGCCTTTTTCAGTTTTTTTTCCAAGACTCTCGTCGGTGTCAAAACCAGAGAATATCGACTGTCTGCCGCGCTACTTGAATTTTAACGCTTCGCATGGTGGCCGCATGGTGCAGCACTTCCGATTGAGGAACATCCATCTGATCGCAGGAACGTCGAAATCCCGGTCGTCGGGTTTTGCAACGGTCAGTGGTTAGTCTCGCTAGCTGTAAGTAGATGGCTGTGCGACGACGTGAGCTGCATTCTCTGCATTTCGCCGCGGCTAGTTCGATAAAAATCAGTAGCAGTCGCTCGCAGGGGTTGCGTTTTGGGCTTTGGCGTGGTGGTGTCGTGGTTCTGCGCGATCCGCGATTTCTGCGACGAGTTCGCGTGCCGTGCAGTGCTGTGCCGTGTCGTGCCGTGTCGTGCCGTGCCGTGCCGTACCGTTCCGTGGTGAATTATCCCGTGATTAGTCGCGGTAAGTAGACATCGGTTTTCCTCGCGATCGCATTCGCGTCGTTCGGCTCGCGATGGTGTCCCTTGGCATTATGGATTTTGCCGACTCGGAGTGGTAAAATCAGCTGTGGAACGGTGCGCGTCCCGTCTCAGTGTAGAATGACCTAGAAAAGATTTGGCGCGTATCCTGGCCAGCATCTTCGAAACTCGTTTCCCGAGGCGAACCGTGAAAACACAATTCGAAGGTTAGACACTACGCTCGATCTAATATTTTCCGGTCAAGGAGGGAGCCCTTTTCGATCCCCCCGCCGTCCTTTCGTCAGTCAGGATTTCAAAACTCTATGGAGTTCGGGGGCCGTCATCGTTGGTCCATCGATTCATCGGCGAATTCAACGTTGTGCTCGTTCAGAGAGTTAGCCCGGAATACTTACCTGAATAAAACCATTTCTAACTGGCAAAGCTGTACGTACGATGACGATGGTACGACGACAGACGCAACGCGCAACCACACGCAACGTTCGTTTTAATCGCGATTCAATTTGAGGATGCTCGTGCTCGTGAATTCGCTTGATCGTACTACGTAGAACGATCCGAAGAGATCGATCGTTTGATCGATGACGAATGGTACAAGTCGATCGTTGCTTCGGAAAAACGTTCGCGACGTCGCGGTATACAGTTTTACATCGTCGTAAATTAAAATTCACGATGCCGTCCGGGTGCGTTTCGATCGGTCGGGCATGAAATCCGGCGAATTTAAATCGTCCATCGCTGACGAACTCTGGCGACCGTTTCGCTCGGTTTCAGCTTAGTTCAAATTTACTCGATTAAAGAAACTAGAATGGTGCGGTGGTTTTCTTGACGCGGTACGTCAGGCGCGGCGAAGGCTACACCATGGCGCGCGTACCTATCAATCGTTCTCCGCAAGTATACGATCATTAATTTAGATGCCATTGAACGGGTTCCGCCGCTCTTAACCCCACTGTCTACCCGTTTCAATTAGTCTTGTGCAAATGATTCGGGTAAACTATTCTCGCATCGACCCGATTCCGATTCCTGTCTAATTTGAACGTTCTGTTCAGAATTCCGGATCGCACCTCTTGATTGTCCCGAAGATTCGCGTTTCACGGATGAAAGCACACGAATGACCCGCGCAACGAGATGATCTCGCAGGATCAATGAGACGCATTTGTCATTTTTTATTACGCGTGTTACCAGACGAAAGATGCATACAGCGGGCGAGGTTGACGGACCCCCTTTAACGTGGGGGCGAAAGAAGGGCGTTGTCTCGTCGATTGCTTCGCAGCTGAACACCGCAGCATTCGTTGCTACTTTCGTTTCATCCCTCCGCGTACAGAGTACAGGATGAAAATCTGAGTTTTGATGCGTGTACGCGGTGGCGTGTGCGTGACTGCGTGGACAACGACGACGACGACGACTCCTCGAGGACAGCACGTACCGATGGCCGCGCAATTTTGTGCGCGTGGCGCGTACGGCGTATACGGTATAACGTTTTAATCGATCTCGTGTCGTGCCAACGCCAACGTTGTTGGTCGCGTGAAAACGGAACGTGATGCCACCAACGATGAGACACCGAAATGAGAAGAAAGATATCCGGTGCGCGTCATTATCACAGGATTCTCAATCGTGAGCTTCCTCATCCGTTTCGAATGTTTACCTAGTTTTACGTTTTGTGTAGGAGACGTTTACGCCGATACACCACAAAGAGTGAAAGAAGTCGATCGGTTCGAGATCACGGGTGTACAGACGGACACGTTGTTAATCCCCGCGTTTACTCGTCGTACTTTATCAACGAGAATAGTTAAAAGATTTATCGATTACGGAGTTGTACACGGAGTAGCTGTAGACGGAGGCATCTCTCTTTAACGTTTTCTAAATTGCAAGGACGCGTCGCGTTCAATGCGATTCGTCGTCGGTTTCGCGTCGAACTCCAAGCTCAGACGCTCGAAACTCGAGAGATTCATTGTTGACGAACGACCAAATTCTTCCATTCGCGGAGGAACAGATTCCGATCGAGGTAACGATGGATGACATGGATCCACCAGCTTACGTCGCCGCCGCCGCTGCGCCGTTACCATTAAGATACGTAGAGTTAACGGAGTAGACGACTTGTTCGCTGGAATTACATCCTGCTGGTTTACATTCTGTACGCGTCGCAGCAATCTGTTTTTTCGCTGGCTGCGTCGCATCGTCGCGTTGAGGACGATGCCACGTGCGCGCTGGGACCGGGACGCGCCTGTTTTCGACCCTTTTCCTGCATCGCGAACATCGCGTCTGCAGATTTCGCACTCCGCCCCGCACTTCCCAAGCTCTGTCCACTAGCTAGAGCGACATGCGTTTAAACAGATCCCGTTTGTTGTACGTATAGGATTTTCGACTCATTTTACTTTTGGAATCTGTATTGTTCGCGTATCAACGGAATAGCCGCGGAAACGATCCACCGCGGAACGCGCGAGGTTTAAATTCGTTTCCTCGGGCTCGTTTGAGGGACGCGACGTGACGTAAAGATACGCGTATCCACGTCGTCGATCGGAGTCCTTCTATTTGCCGTTCGTTCGATACGCGGCGCGGCTGAATTTTATTCACCCTAGGGATGAATACTAGTTCGAGGGTCGATATGACGGAATCGAGTTTAGGCATGCACACTCGAACACGTTCCGGTACTTACTCGGGGTGAAAACCGTGCGAACCGTAGTAGGTTCGTAGGAAGCTTCCCGAGCCTTACTCTCAGAAACTTGGCGGCATGTGCTTTTTCGCCCACCTCTTCCGCAGACCTCCGTTTAAACTCCGTTCTCCTCGTCATCTCGTATTAAATTTGTCTTCGAAAGAGCCGCGAGATGCGTACGCACACGTACGCACGGGTACTCGCGTATTCGTCGTTCGATACGATAAACCGCAGGAGAGAAATAAAAATTGGCTAAAGAATCTGCGTTCCGAGGTCGCTGATTTTTCGTTTCGACGTATCTCTGTAGTCTGTAGGAGTATCCGGATACTTTTCCACGACCAGGTCTCGTTCTCCTTGAACGCTGAATCACACATCGTCTTCGACCGATGATGGAACGAATCGAACTACTCGAATCTCTCGATGGGACGTCATTTTTATTTTCCATTTGTGCAGAAAACAATTATCCAATTCACTGACGCGAAGAGTACATCCTCGGTCGCGCTGATCGATACTTACGCGTTATCGCCGAATTAGTATCTGATTAATTGGGAATTAATTAGCGGAAGTTGTTCGGCCGCGTGTCGTCTCGAGTTCCGGTCTCGTCGTTCTCCTGTCGCACTTCTACCGCCTGCATCGGATAGAATTCAGAGTGCGATCAGACACCGTCTACAGTGAGAAGGGAGGACCGAGGCGTTAGAGTTCGAAGGGATTTTCACCCTGTGCACACCATGTATACGTGTCAGGGAGTGCCTGCTGCAATCGTTTTCTCTGTCGTTTCTTCAGGAGAGTAAGGTAGGTGTTCGTCGGTAGATCGTGGCCGTACAAGAGTCGTCAACGAGGTCTTATCAACGTTCGGTTTCCATTTGTGGGGGCCATGAAGTATCAACGAGTCGGCCGCCACCGCCGCCGGTTCCTAATGGTTTAACAGGGACGATAACGAGCCCTGGGCGAGACTTGCTCTCGACTCTGGATAGAATGGAACAGAATGGAGACGAGACGGAGAGGGGAAAATCGATTCGTCGAACGATCCCTGTCCCACTGCGCTGCTCGCGGTCCGAATCGCTGAAGAATCGCGTCGCGAACGGACCGATGCCGGGCATTGTTGGGGGTTTCGTCATTATTAAAAACCCTCTTCGGTATATCCGAGCGCCGTTCGATCGTGCCAAGCCTTGTTCCTTTCCTATTCCTCCTATAATCGCCGCCACCGTCGATAACGAGCCACCCCCGGTGCTCCAGATAGAACCCGAATCGTTATTGGAAAATATCCAGTCTCTTCCCAGTATTCCTCTACTTTGCATTTCCTTTTTACTCCTCTCGACTCGGTATGACCCGTATCCGAGTGGATCGTTCCCATGCTTCTCTCAGATCTCTGAGTCGCCCTTTGCTCATGAATTTCATTCATTTCGGAAGGGTGGGTGTACGCGAATAGTAAGTACGTGGCACGATCTAATTACGAGAGAATGCAAATCGATGAGTTAAGAATTGTACCGAGCGACGGGACGGAGCCGAGCAATATGGACGGATAGACTGCTTGTGGAAGGTAGCACGGCGAATGATCCCGGTGGATCTACGTGCACATACGGCGTACAGCCGTCTCTAGAGAATCGTTCCCCTTTCTCGTCCGGCCTGGATTCGCGGAATCCGGAAATTTCTCTCCGGTCGTTCCCCGATCTCTTCTCCGATCGATACAAAAAAGGGACTTTGAAACGTGCTTCTCCGCGGACTGGAGATCGTCGAAGTGCGAACATTAAATCGGAGTGTGATCGTTCGAATCTGTATATTCGCACGAACTATTTTCCAGGCCACTCGATTTTCGAGCGTAGTAGGTACGTCTTCGCGGATGCTCGAAGGCCGAACTTTGTACACGGTGAGCACGAAGCAAAGGGGTTGAAAGTATTTTTAGAAGATTATTAGGCAGCTTACGATTAGACGCAATAACGCTCGAAGTGGCTTGGTAACTCGAACAAGTACGCAAGCAAGTAGTGCACTTTTATTTGATCGCGCGCGGTCATTTCGAGTCGACGCGTTAAAGTATTTGGAAGATTGGCATCGTAGAGCTGTAGCGTCAGGATGCGACCAGTAAAGATACAAATGTATTGAGCGGAGCCCATTCACAAAATCGCGGCGGCGTGATCTGTTCTCGAGAAAGTTGCGACCGCCTCGGTGAAAATTACTGTAGGACAACGCGTCTTTACGAAAATATCTCGACTCGTCGTTCGATCGTCCGTTAGTTAGTTATTGGAAACGCGCGCCCGTAGCATGCCCATGCTACAACGACCGAAACCAACTGGTAAAGAACCTGATTCGAGCGACAATTCAACGGGGAATGAATCGTACGTGTCCGGTGATCAAAGATGAATCGTGATACTCGACATAGTACGATATCTTTGTCAAGGATTTAGTTTGCGTAGGGTATCCCACGCAACTGGGGCGATCTATAGGCGGTGGTCGGTCGCGATCGCCACGGTTACGACCGTCGACGGTGTTCAACACGGATTTCACGGTTCTCTACTTTCCGCGACTCGTCGTTCCATTTTCTCTTACCACTTTGAACGATCGATCGTTCGATCGAGTCCCCCAACGACCAGCTGTAAAAATTCGTACTGCGAGATTCGTGATCTTGGAGCTACTCGTTTCACCTTCCGCGTACGAGAACGAGAAAAACCGGTGACTTCTTTTGTGAACGACGTTACGCCGCGTGAAATTACACGAAGCGGAGGTGTAGCATTGCGGTGCATCAGAAGATCCGAGGAACTAGAGTAGATACACACAGCTGCTGCGTGTACGTGCATCCTATTTACATGGAGGAGTTGGAACGTGTAAGAGGATCGTATGAATCTATTGTGAGCTTCCTCAGTCGTCTCGTTTCACCGTGACGCACCCAAAGACGAGGGCGCGCGCGCGCGCGCAGCCGTTACTTTCGTATAGTTCGCGCTGCGAGTCGTCATGGAATACGAGCATAATTTTTATTCCGATTCCTATGCGTTTGAATCCGCACCTTCGCACACTGAGAGACAGATTCGCGTGACGTAGTTCGACGGGGGGGGGGGCAAGATCTTTGGCAGCGATTTGCAGGAAATCGCTTGTTAAGACCGCGCGACAGAGGCGTGTGCAGTCGGTGTGTAACGTATTATGGTCTATGCAGAACTGTAGACTGTAACAGCAGCGATTGCTTTAGGGTTACGAGAGCTTGCGAGCCTCAAAGTGGGTCTAAAGCCAGCGCGGCACCGGTACCTACACCTACCTACTACCACCAGATTCGTGTTCGGCCGACCTAGTTGGAACGCGTTTGTGAACGGAGTCGAAAATATTTTTTCGCGTCGCCTGTCTGCGACTAGCTTTTTCCACCCTCTGCTTCGCGAATCTTTCGAACGTTAACGTTTCGCTTTACCGAATGACCGGCGTTACGTTCCTTCTTCGTTAGTTTCTCTCCACTCGCCAACCTCCGCGTTCCTGCCGCCGTCGCCGCCGCCGGACCGTATCGGCTGCCTGCCCACACGGCGGAGGGCGCGACACAGACAGAATTCCAAATGTTGAAATACGAACCTAGTTCGATCGCCCGTGCCCTGTTTTCCTCTTCCTATGTACCCCCGGTGTACACGTGATGAAAACCCCGGGAGTGGACGCGGCGCGATGACCGGAAAGCGGAACCGTGTGAAACTCGTTTCGTCGATCGTTCGAAACGTAATCTCGGTCCGTTCGCATAATTAACTCGTCGGGAACGTCACAGAAATCACGTTCTGTTTCGCCCGTTATTATAAATATAAAACCAGGGATTAGGAACACGTCGTCGTCCCAACGTGACGAAACGTGAGACGATGTTGGTATTCTGCCAGGCTGAAAGGACGCGTTCGCGGATAGAAAAAGGCGAGGCCCCTTTTCTTCCCACGAAAGAATGATACTCCGCGATAATAACACGTGGAATAATTGCAACGCCCGCTCATTCGTCGTACGTGCGACGCGATGAGGTTCGAATAAAATCGTACATCTGCGACTGAGGAAATTTTAACATGAAAACAGAGCAAGAAGGTAGAAAAACGAAGCGGTACGAGCGAAGTCTGTAAAGCGATTCGTTCGAGTGTCGAATTCCAGAAATGAGGACCCGCCGCCGCCGCCGCTGGTACAAACGCTGCATTGGCTGTGCGGTTCGCGTAAAAGTAGATTTTGTTCGATGCGCATGGCAGAGTCGGACGAGAACTGGAATGCTCAGAATGTTAATCGTTTAATGGGGTATAATCGGTTAATGGGTGTACGCGTTCGGCCGAACTCTCCCGTGCTCTCGCCTTCGCGCCGTGGTTCGACGGTCGCCCGTATCTCTTCTGTTCATTTTAAAATACCGTCGGCAGCGAATCATTGTTCCGGTTCGGGAACCAAGTATCGACGATTCGGACACGACTGCTCGTCGGATCCCTTCGAAGACCGACTAGCCGAGACGACTACAAGCACATGATTTGATTGAGATATAACGATAATTGATTAGGAGCTCGAGCGACGACGTCTTCTAAAATCTGTGCGGAGAATAGAAGCAGGGCGAAATACAAAAATTGCACTTGCAGGACGTGGAATGACAGATGGTGGCTACCAGCAGCATGGTGTATGAGGAGATAGTTGGAATACGGGGCAGCTGACCCCAGCCTCCGCGCACGCTTTTCACGCGCGAGATGCCCCACAACTTGAACTCCGCTTCCGCCGACGACGACTCGGGACCCAATCACCAGGCCTACGCGCACGAATCTTATCATCGACAGAACAATGGAGACGGACTTCGACCCGAGGTAAGTAGTTCGTACACGTACTCACCTGGGACTAGACGGAAACTTTGTTCCTCTCGAGAATGAAACGAGCCGAAAAGAACCGAAGACTCGAAAGAGGCTCACACAGACTAACGCTTCCGTTCGTTTTTTCAAACGTAAACGGGAGCTGTAGCTAATGTGGCTCCCCGTACGAGCGATTACGATCGCGCTCCGTAAAAAAAGGCGGCGCGACGCGTCAGACCCTGATAAAAAACACAGCTTGACCGCGTGCCCCCATAGAAGCAGCGTCGTAGAGATAGCGTTGAATTTGAATGGGAAGCACGAAAGGGAGAGAGAATTCCTCGATTTCTTCTTCGCTGCTTGTATGATCTTCATGCCTATCGGCACGGTTTTTTGATTCGATCGCTTTACGCGACAGAAAGAGCCGGTGGAGTTCGACACGTCGCATTTGCGAGGCGCACCGGCAGAAGTCGAGGCACTGGTGCACAACATCAAAGAAGTCGCGCAGCAGTTCCTCTACCACTGGAGAACGTTCCCGATCGTCCTACCGCCGCCTCTGTCCACCTGCATCGAGGGCGGTGAGGACACGCTCGCTAGGAAGAAACATCACCTGAGGGACTTCTTCGTAGCGCCCAGCTTCGATGAGTTGGATTCGGTCGCCGTCGACGCCAAGGGTGAACCCAGAAGGCTGACCAAGAAGCAGCTGGAGAGCATCGGCAAGCGAGGGTAGGTCGTTAATCTCGCGACGAAAACGATCGTTCTTTCTCTTTCGTCCTGTCTTCTTCGTCTCTTCGCCGTAGATAGCCGTAGTAGTGCGTAGGTACATACGTGTCAGACTATTACGCTCGCGCATTACCGCGACGTCCTTAAACCTTGGTCGCCGCGAACGCTCGCTCACTTTCACCTGAGAAATACATTTTTAACGATCGATATCCAGCTTAGGGATTAAGGACGTTCCTCTTTCAATTGATTGATCGATGGATCGATTAGATACGCTTCGGGACACTGTGTCGTAGCAATTGTTCTGTTACGTAGAATTAGATTCTTTAGCCGTTTCTTTGCGCACAGTGTACGTGTACAATGAGAATTAGGATGTGTCGCGACTGTCCATTGTCGACGCGCGCGCGCGAACAGTTCACATTTTTCTAGGACAGACACAGGGAACGAGTGTCCGCGAAGAAAAAGCCCAGGAAGCTGAGGAAAGATTCTCGTGTATGTATCTATACTCGCCAATGTATTGGCTATACAGTCAATCCCAAAAATTTATGTACCTTAGAAAAACGTATTTCCTATAATTAAAAAGAAATCAGACGTCGGAAGAACAATGCTAATAATAAATAGTTACGTGCTAAAAAGTATAGAAGGAAATATCCAATTAAGTATTGACG